CTCAGAATGGTCGCAACAGTCCAAGGACATGAGTAATTTAATAATTATAATATTCAGTTTTCGCTATTTATGTTAAAAATGTCATAATACCTAACTTGAAAACTATTACTAACATTGTCAAAGGCTCATTTCCATATAATACAATTACAGTAGAGTAACTTTACACCTGTACCAAATAATACGAGGGTCCAAAATGTGTATAAATAATTGCGTAACATTATAATGTCGTCTACAATTTATATAATATTACGGAATTTTATCCTAACAAAATTTACGTTAGCAGCCATCGCTCCTGTCAAGCCGGACTTTTATTTTCGGTATAAATTGACTAATGAGTTGTGAAGCTTCAAGTTTTATGGTTGATGGTTTTTCAATAAATTTTCTAATAAAAAATTCCTTTTTTCGAGTCTCTACTTTGTTAGAAGTTCTTATAATAAATGAGAATGTTGTTTTCGATGAAATATTCGTATTTAAATTATCGTTTTAAAGTAACTGGAACTATTAGCCGTAAAAAGTCAGTCGCGGAGAAACCTAACCTAACCTAACGGATTACCGGGGCTCCGGCTCGAAGTGCAGGAGAAGGAGAGGGGTGGTTTTTAGTCAGTAAGACTCTTTCTCTCCCTCCCGCCTCACCCAGGCGGTGATTTTCCCCCCTTAAAAAAAGCCGTAAAAAAATGAATTAGTTGTGGAAATTTCAGTGCTTACATGAATTTTCATTCTCATGTAAGCTCCGAAATTTCCACAAGAATGGAGAAAACAGGAAAAATATTCAAGTTCACAAATTTACTGCAGAAATCGGCTTTCGAAATAATCACATATCAACATCAAAATATCAACTTACGACGTCACAACTTACAAAACGAACAAGGGTAATAAACTTGCATGTCATTGCTGCAAAATATATCAATTTGACGTTTCCTTATTGGTCTCCGGTTATTTTACTTAAATTCTTACTATCCTTAACGAATAGCAAAGAAAGGGTCAGTTGGTTTTAAAATTAGGCCACGAGATCAATATTTTACGTACCTACAATTTTCTAGAACGAAATGAAAGGCGCTCTTTTTTTTTCTTTTTTTTTGTCTTCTTTGGCAACCGAGTCTCCAATATGATGTTGTCGACTATACTGCCAGTGTCGAAAGGCGCTCTTATTCAGGCGGATCTGAATCTGAGCTCTGATTAAGCAGATATTTTTGCTAAATGAGTCGCAAGTCTTTACTTGCGCAAATTCTAAAATAGTTTAAATCTAAATGAAATTAAATAGTCTTTATGATCGTTTTCACCGACCACTCTTAACTAAGAGTTATGACCTAAACTGTACCCTTAGCTGTTATAGGTGTCACTTATAGGTTAGTCAAACCAAAATGTCGTTAAGTGTCACCTAACTTAACTTAGTGGTTCCTTTATAAGAGAGGTAGATGAAAACGGATGGTAGTACCTAGTATATATTTAGAACTGAAAGCTGGGTTATGGAAAAGACGGATGGAAGAAAAGTGCAACGGAGATGAAAATTTTAAGAAAATATGTAAATGTGTGGCGTTAGGAGAAAAGATAAGATATTCATTGCTCAGAGGAAGTGTGAAAGTGGTGCCGGCGATTATAGAGAAGCTGAAAGATGATTGATTCTTCTGCTAGGCTATTCTGAAACGGGTCGAACTTTTGATGTCAGTTTGATCGCATTCTCCCCCCTCATTGGTCGAGACTATTTTCATAACATTTCTAATGACATGGTGAACCGCGATCGAGTTCGATCTTTCGAATTGAAAGTTATAGGATAGCCTAGCTAGTATGGATTTATAATGAGAAGGTATAGAATTATATGATAAAGTTTGGATGAATTGGAAAACAGCTTGACCAAAAACTTAAGAGATTCGGAATGACATGAAAGAGCAAGGAGTTGTAAGATGTATTATAAGATGATGTCTGATAGGAGAGAACAGAAAAATAAAATATATTATGTAAAGTAACTCTCGGAATAAGAGCATCAAGAAAATAAGTACAGGTTTGAAACATATTACAGTCGAACACCGAACCAGAGCGAACAAACAAGAGTTCTACGCATATTTCCTTTAGGTAATGCCATTGTAGCCGTGTTAAATATCACTGCCTTTGTTTACACATTAATAATATAAATATAAAAATAGTTCAGTATATAACCATTCAGGTAAAATTAATTAACACGAGCCAGTAAAATGGCGTCGAGTTATTCTGAGAAGATCATCAACATTGATTTTAACGCTCGAAGCACTTCTGTTATTAAAGCCTTTGTTATTTTTAATTTTCCGCCGAACGAGACATCATTAGAGGCTCCCACTCGTACGAAATACAGATCTGATTTCTCTCTATTTGACAATAAGGATAATTATAAATAGCGTCACCTGCCTGTGATATCTATGTGTCTGATAGTTTTACCTGTATTGTTTTGTCATGGACATGGGATGACACGTAATTTATGTGCTGAACTACTTAGTTGTCTTAAATATTGTAACACAAGCTTCCGCCCGCGACTTCGTACGCGCAATCCCATTTTCTCCCGTTCCCCGTAGGATTTTTTGGATTTTTTCTGTCATAAGATCCTTCTCCTGACAAATACAACAAAAAAAGAATTAGTGATCAATCGGTCCAGCCATTCATGCGTGATGCCGTGAGCAAGGGAATAAGGAATTAATTTTTATATATACCGTATAGATTTTGATAAATACAAATTGAAATATTTTTGTTCGTAGGAGGGACAATGTTAAGTACATAATTTAAAGTTTCAGGGCACAGAATATAATTTATTTTTTTCAATTAAGTTAATTGTCTCTACATGTACACTTTTTGTGTAGTGTTTTGAATTTGATTCGTGTAGCAATAGGCCTTTAAAAGTAAAGGCCTAATCAATACATAGTATAAAACAAAGTCGCTTTCGCTGTATGTCCGTATGTATGCTTAGATCTTTAAAACTACGCAACGGATTTTGATGCGGTTTTTTTTAATAGATAGAGTGATTCTTAAGGAAGGTTTGTATGTATAATACATGCATATTGCACCCGTGCGAAACCGGGGCGGGTCGCTAGTTAGGTTATAAAACAGCAACAACTTAAAACGGCTGAATAACTGTGCAACTGCCTTTCCAGCGATTTAATTTTAACATAACATCACGCCTTTTTTATCCCCGAAGGGGTAGGCAGAGGTGAACATTAAGACACTTAATGCCACTGTACAATGTAACACCCACTTTTCACTATTTATGTTATGAGTCCCATGTAATAGGGGGTGAGCCTATTGCCATATACCGGGCACAATTCCAGACTTCGTGCTACTACTGAGATTTTTTTTTAAACCCAGATATTTTCTGCCACCCGGCCAACGAGGCAGTCAATTTTAATTTTAAGACTATTGTAAATTGAATTATATGGTAAACAACGTACGGTAATTAATACCATATACAACATGTGTCTAGATAACCCTATTATTTGTTGTCTGGATGTCACTATTTGTTATATTCATGTATTTATCCTTAATTATGAACATGAAATACATTAGTGCTATAAATAACCACATAATACATATATTATATTATGCAGGTAAACGTGATCGTTTTTTTTTGTTATGACATGGGATTATTCCATTCTGTTTAATTCATTTAGTATTTAATTTAAGTCAGTAATTTCTTAGTACCACCATAAAGCTGAAGCCAACTAAAAATCGCGGGCTACTCACATGAATATACTGATTAAAGCTCTACTAGTTTCGAACCACAGAGGGGTTCTTCCTCATGAGCAGCGTGCGAGGTTGCGGCGATGTCGCGCAGCCTACTGTTTTAGTTAAATTAGTATTACTCACGGTAGTTATTAAAAACAAAGTATAAACCGTTAATAACGCCATTCCATTCTTGATCTGGATAAACAGAAGTGATCTATGTATAATACGCAGTTTCTGATAATGAAGTACGGAATAGCAATCGACTAGTCAATATTGCTTTCTCGAGACTTTGTGCACGTAAACCTTAGTTTCGACAAGTCGACCTATGAAACCTCATTTCTATAATTTGTTCTACTATTCGTTAAATAATATCATGTTTTATTTGTAATTAACAAATACAATTGACATTTGACTGTTTTTAGTACGGGAAAATTGTCAAATATTCAAAATTATTCGTTACTTAAAATTTATCTGTCGTTGGAAGAATCAGCATACTGCGAAGTTTACCAAACCAATAGCTTCTCTTGTCGGCCCTTAATTAGTAGTACAAAATAAACAATTTTATGGTTCTATTTTCAAAAAACGACCAGTGCTTTAATAATTTTTTTTTTCTGATGAGTCATCGTACAAAACCCGCTCGGGTAATTATAGTAAATTGTTTGTTCTAAATACAAAAAAATAAAATATTACAACGTCCGTAAAATAAATGGCCAGTAATTTTCTACGTTTGTAGGTGAATACAATTATATTTTATGAAAACGTTCATTACATTTTTATTCATATTCATAACTTTGAAATGTTCTCTTGTTTTTTTTTTTAATTTATTGAGAACCTGAATCAAATTTTAATTTTAATCCATAACACCACTAACGGTATTATATCGATACAGTACTCTAGTCTATCCAATATAAAAAACAAAATATTTTCCAAAGGAATACAGTTGCGTAAGCCTTTTGCGTAGTACTTTGTAGAAAGGATGAAAACATACAGCCGAGACGAGATCTACATCTTAAAGTTAAATCATGTCGATATAAACACCAATTCAAAATATATCATTCCGATCAAAATCGCGAGGACAAAGACAACATCGATAGTTTTCCATTTCCATATTCCCCTACATATATTTATTTATTTATAGGGTGTCGACACAACAAAGATCCTTTTCTATAATAATACATATTGCGCATAAAGTATTCTGTTCATAAAACGACTTTTTACAAGCGTAACATTAAAAATACTCGTATCTTGATGAACATACCACAATGTACTTAATGCACAATTTTATTATGTAGTCTTAATGATTGTTTTCCACTGACCTGAGTCGACTGGCGCTATGTCGGGACCATCGTGGGGCGCTAGCATCTTCATCGTGATGGCACCTGGCAGTACGCTACTTGACACCGACACCGTGGCGAATTACTTCACAATTTCAACCGAAAAAACGACGATTAATCGGGAAAATAAGGGAAAATAACCGGAGCCCAACAGGCTGTTTCGACACTGCACTATCGATTGAAGTTCTGAGGGTAGTCGCGCATGCGTGTGGCGCGCGGACTTGGCGCCTGCGTTGTCGCCCCGCGCCGCCATGTTTGCCCGGAAAGACGTCACGTGACAGTTGACAGTTTAGGGCGCGTTTCCGCTGTTAATAATTGACGTACCATCTAATTTTCCTATGACTAATGTGTTTATCCGCTTTTCTGTATGGGAAATGAATGGATGTATTTCAGTAATTTTTATAGATTGTTCCTTTTGATAATGGGGTCGGTGGTATATAAGTAAGCTGCTTGAATAGGAATGATGTTCTTTATTTTGTTTAGTAAAAATGTTTTAGAAACTTATTTGATCTGTTTTTTATTTTCACAACTTTTAGTTGACAGGCTTCAGAATAAAATATTATTTTCACAATTATTTGGATAGTAGGTATTGTAACAACATTTGATCAGTTAAGAATAAAAACATGAATTTAATGCTTTTATTTTAATACTAGGAAAGTTTGCACTAAATAAATGAATTTAAAAGTAACTGTAATAACTTGTAAACTATTTTACTAACAAACTGAAATTCGTATTTCATAACTAGGTTAAAAGAAATGGGTTTCATTAAACTGTCAAACGCCAAGCGGTCACCGGTGACCGCAACCTATTGTTCTATAATTGTGTCTACAAAACCGGTACTCGACGAGTTAAATTACAAAAAAATACAAAAAAGGGCACTTGTTATAAATTAATTTTATTGAAAATCGTAAATAAATTTACATAATATATTAATAAATATTACATCACGTGTACAAACGTATTTGTTTTCTTGTAAAGTGTGTGTGTGTCGGTGGCAGCGAGCTGCGTGTGTGTACGTGTGTTGTTTGTGTGTGTGTGAATGTGTGGAAGGAGTGGGTGTCTAGTATCCGGCCAGCTCAGCGAAGGTGGAGTCCATCTCGTCGGCCAAGCTCTTGTATCTGTCCTTGTTGATTCCGAGCTCATCTGTTTAACATATGATAATGTTAGAAATCTAACTTATTTGTCGATGAACGTGGGGCTTTATACAGAACTTTCAAGTCATTTAATTAGTCCGCAATTACCAACTACAACTGTCTTTTGAATGGCCAAGAAGGTAAAAACTTTTTCATTTTTAATTGCTGAACTGAATGAATCAAAAGTTCCCGTCAAGCCCCCTACTCGATTTAGGAAAACTAATAAGGGAAGGTTTCCTGAAAATGGAACATCTAAAGTATAATAACATTCTAAAAATGTCTTTCAGTAAAAAAGGAACATTTTAGGTAATGGATAGAAAAGAAGAGATAGTTAAAGAAAATAAGATTAGGATTTATCTATTAATGTAATTAAGTTTGTTACTCTCTTTAGGAATTTCTTTATAACACATTTATGGCGCAAGCGACAGCTTTAAACATAATTTTATATAGAAATAGAATTAAGAGGTTATGAAAGAACCAACATTACCTTGGAAGCAATGGTCCGCGACGGTAGCAGCAAAGCGAAAGACATGTTAGTCACAAACAGACAAAGCAGGGCTTAACACGACGCTCCTACAGGGTCGTGGACATACACTATAATAATATATTATGTGTCGACAACCCTGCAGGCGGCGAGCAGGTTAGGCGTTAGAAGAAACAGTTTAAGAGACTCTGAAATGTATGGAACTCGTTCTGACAGCGATCTACAATCGGGCTAAACAATGAACTTGTACAGGGTCGAGACAATGCAAGGTGGCGTATCAAAATGGACTTTAAGGTGATGTGATTCGGACGGTTTTGACTTAAACTATGTGCTGTAAGGGCTGGTTAGTATCCTGTCAGCTCGGCGAATGTGCCGTCCAAGTCATCGCATATCGCCTTGTATTTCTCCTTCTCGTTGAATAATGCGTCTGTAAAATTTAGTCATTTGATAACAACTTACGAAACGAACCAACTTTATTCCGCCTCTGGACTTAAAGTTAAAAGAAAAAAATGAGTTTTTATTAGAAAAGTTTTGATTAAAAAGCTTTTGCAACAAGAGAAGCCATAGTATTCTCTTTTTGTTAGAATAGTTATCAAGTTATCATTATAGAAGATTTCGTTACTTGATATTTAGATTTGTTTAGTTGAATCTTTGAAGTCAGAAAGATCTTTCTTAGTTTGTATCTTAGTGATAGATTTAAGTTGATCTTATTGGTTACTAGATTATGTTGGTGTTTGGTTAGAGTCGTACCTTCGAGCCTGTCAACCTCCTTCTGCAGTTTCTTGACAGTCTTCTCTGCGAACTCGGCGCGGGCCTCGGCTTCCTTGAGTTTGCTAGTGAGGGTCTTCAGCTGCTTCTTGAACTCTTCGACACGCTGGTTGGCCTTCTCTTCTGATACTTCCAGAGATTTCAGGGAGTTACCTACGACCTGGATTACAAGTTGGTGTTGTTATTTCTCATTTAATATTTTTTAAGTTCGTTTGACTTTACGAAGTTCATAATAAAATAAAAATAACCTTTAATTCCTCCTCAAGTTCTGAGATCTTGGCGTCTCCAGACTTGACACGGTCCTCAGCGACTTCGAGCTCGTCTTCAACGAAGGCCAGCTTGCGTGATACCTGAACATCAAAATGTCATCGTTTGTAGTTTTCATCGACACAAACTGTTTGTTTTTATTTTTAGTGAATAATTGCTTTGGATGAATAGTGAAACTGTTGATGCTGCTGTTGAGGATGATAAATCTATCTAGTTAATAAGAAACAAAATGAAATAAGGTGACAGATAGAGTTTGCGTAGGTATTTGTATGTTTTGTTTACTCCAAATGGCTCTGGATAAGGCTAGGCAGAAATAGTTGTATAAGTTATGACTTGTATCAATCTCAAGATTCAAGTCTCACCTCGTCGGACTTGCCGTCAGCATCCTCAGCGAGCAGACGGGCTTCCTTCAGCTGGTTGGTGAGCTGGTCCATGCGCTCCTCGTCTTGCTGTGCCCTGTTCTCCAACACTTTGCACATACTGGAAACAAACGAAGCACACATTGAGATACCGTAACCACACCATTGTTATTCAAATAAGAAACTAATTTAATTTCTAATCATCAAATATTTGAATAATAGAAATAATTAATAAGATAAGTCGCGTCGCCACGGCCTAACTGAATGCAATGGGTCCTGTTATATGTCTGCTTACCCTCTTGGGAATAAAAGGCATGTGATAAATGCTAAATCAGAGAATATTAAATAACAAAAGTAAATAGACACGACCTCTGCCGGCTCCTTCAAGGAAACACTAGAAGGTGATGTGTTCATGTATACATAACTCGGATAAATGTAAACATTTCTTATATTTTTCACGAACTTTAAATATTTCATGAACTAATCTGAAATTCAGAGCTTGTATCTAATTATAGCGTGGCACGTTACCCAACTGTTGCGTTCTTAATAAATCATACGCAGACGGCGAAATTACGACTTACAATAATGTTTCAGAAATACTTTCAGATTTCATGGTCGTTGTAATAAGTCAAAAGGAAAAAGTCGGTGTTGGTAGAATTATTCAAATTGTTTATTATAAGTTATAACTTTCTTTTACACCTTTGCTTACACTCCTGGTGATTTCCCTTGTGAGTTTCTACACGTGATTTAAGTTATATATTTCATGATTCTAATATACATACATATTATTATGTAAAGAACTATGTTCCAAGTTTCACTGAACACGATATTCAAGTTTAATTTCTTAAGTAATATGTAAGAAAAAGTTTTATTACAAGCGTTCTTTCAGCTCAATAGAATTACGGATTCGAAGACTGTAAGTATGCATGGAAATATCCATTCCCTGTATGAGACGCTAGACTACGCGAAAGACCGCGTCTTTTTGATTCTGATTTTAACTAGCAAAATTACTAGGTCATTAGTGCATTTGTCACAAGGTTAAGTGATGACTAAGGGCAATAGGCTCAACCGATACTGCATTGGACTTTTACAATTAACAAAAATATGGGAGTTAAATTTAAATATCCTTGCTTTAATAGATAGTAGTGTAAGCTTCACATAATCTTACCGGTTGTTCTCGTCAGCAGACTGCTGGGCTTCGAGCAGCTTCTGCTGGGCGGTGCCTGACCTCTCCTCGGACTTCTCGAGGTCCTCCTCAATCTGCTGCACCTTCCTGTTAAGGGCAGCGACCTCAGCCTCAGTGGCGGTTAAGGTCTTCTCCTTCTCTTCCAAGTCCTTGTTGGCCTGTTCCAACTTGTTCTTGTTGAGGATCAGGTCCTCCTCCACCTGGGCAAGCTTCTTCTGGAGCTCACGGACTTCCTCGTTGACCTGGAAGAGGGAGGCATTTTTTGGTTAAGTACCAGTCAGATGAGAAGTGCAAGAAATATTTTTCAGTATTCTTTATAGGAATATAAGACCACCTCTTTTTCAAGAGTATGGCAACAAAGAAAACAGGACAATCTTTTTGAATGAGGTAAGTATAGTATTGACCGTTACGAAATTCCTTAACTTTAGTTGAGTACTGAGTTAGCGTAGTTCTAATCCCAATAAACATTGGAAATCCTCCACTCAGAATCACGGTGTAATATTACCCGAACCCTGAACATAATGTGAAAACAATAAATATGTTAATACGAGACCCGTTCGAAGAAATTGTAATCTGAAATTTGTAGAAACATTTCTTAACATTTCTCTCAAACAAATACCCCCAATGCCTAAAAATAGTTACTGCGTGGGCAAAAATGGAACGAGTCTATTAAATTAAACCAGATTTATTTGTCGTGATTCTAGAGAGCCCTGGTAAAAAGTAAATTTATCGTTAAACGTTAAAAATATGGAACGTCTTTTATTTTTGCGCGACCTTCTGAGCCGCTTATCCTTAAGAAGCCGTCGGAGCCAAGACATTCCCGATAAAAAGGACCATCCTGAATAAATATAATATTAAAACTGAAGATGACAGACAAGATACTTTTGTTCAGTTATTTTTCGTGAAATCTTGAATTTCTTCATTTATTCCACGTATTTGTTTTATCAAAAAGATAGACGTGGGTTTTATATGCTTAATTTAAAGATATCGACTTATTTTGATTACTAGTTTTTTTCAGTTATATGTGTTTACAGAATCAAACCATTCGTTTAGCATACAGAGTGTAGGATGGAAGGAGGATGTACTAATGATACCTAATATCTGCTACTAAAATACAAATAGTTACTATGTCCAAACTATTTTAAGTTTACCTTCTCGGCGCGGAGGTTGGCGTCCCTGGCCTGCTGTTCGCAGGTGTCAGCCTTGTCCATGGCATTGTCCTTCTCCAGCTTCATCGCCTGCATCTTCTTCTTGATCGCGTCCATGGTGGCGGCTTTGTGTCTTTACGGTCCGGTCGAAAAAATACGCCAGTTACGGCCTGCAAACAAATATTGAGTTTAAAAAAAGAATTGTGGCGACAGTATTTTCTTTTTTTTTCCTTTAATTGTAGTGGCACGGGTTGGCATTGTCATTTTTTATCTATGTATTGAGACATTGATTCCTAAAATGCATTTTAATGTTTTATTCCCATATTTTTTATATTCTTATATTTCATAAAAGCCTGTTGATTTTAAAGAAAATCACTTATAAGCCTTAAATATAGAAAACTGAATAATGTTCAGCGAACTAGTTTCCGTGTACGAGCTAGGGATTCAATAAAGCCCCAGTACTCTGCCACGGAACTACATATAACTGGAAAGTTAATTGAAATCGTGACAATACAGCAAGCACTGGATACCTACTACTATGTACCGAGAACTACACATCAAGCTAAGCAAAACCAGTATAAACTGACCTTGGAATGTGCAGAAGGATCATGGAAAGCAAGACCTTGATAAACTGGTTTGTATAGATAGATGTGTGTACTTCAATCTGCGCCGTGAGAGGAAATCTCATATCGCAGGGATCTTAAGATTATATTGGATGTCAACAAAACACTCTAGTTGAGTGTTTTGACCTATACACGTAGGTAAGTTAAATCCTGAAAGAATTTTAGTGTTTTTTTTTTTTTTGCGAACATGGAAAGTTTTCTTACATAGCATATTGTGTCTTACATAGAAATAGAATATATTATCTGTCTTTGCCTTGCATGAATCGATACTTTATGCTTAATTACTGATATTTTTATAAACAGAAAACCTTCTAACAATTTGTAATGGTGGATTTTTTGTATTACAAAATGCTGCATAAAGTGGAATCACTGGAAAATCCTTTCATTCTTTTTATTAAACGAACAAGTTATAACAGCGTGATCACATAAGATGCAAGCCAAAAACACTTCCATAGACTTCTATAAAAATAAAAAAAGAACTTCAATTCCAATTTCAAAAGTTTAAACTGTAGCTATTCAATATGGCAGCGCGCCAAGTCGCCAGATGTAGCGCACAATTATTGGGTCTACGTTCCTGATTCTAAATTATATTCCAACCTAATTACAAATATATGTATGGCACACTTGCACTGATGAAATATTAGTTTAAGACCCCTGTTTTGGGAATTTGGGAGTTCATAACCCTCGATTTGAGACTTAAGGACGAAAATATTAGAAGTATATGTTGCATATATGATTTGTGGATATGTGGGTCTATAGTTTGGGTAATATCAATCTTAATTTAAGACTCAAACAGAACCTGACGTTTGTTTTCTTAAAATCTATCTACAATACCCCAAAGCATAAGATAGGTCATTTTTTTTTATTGTCATGATGAGAATCCTTAGGTACGTTTTTGAATGAGTAATTCATACGAACAACTTTTGAAGACTAAGCTCTATGTCGTGTCGATAGCGTTGCAAATGTTGACAAAGTTGTAATTTTATTTGTTACAATTTAATTAACTTTAACCTGGTGACTTTCAGCAGTTGTATAGTAACGTTATTTTATACTCTTGAAGATAAGTATAAGATAGCCTTTTGCGCTGCGATGCGACCCTCCATAGGCTTTTTTGTGTGTTCCTAAATTCTTGTTGTGTGTCGTAGCAAAATAAATGGTTTATCTTTCTTAAACAACATAGAACACACATTATAACATTATAATGTGTGTATTTAAGAACAAAATATTAGCATATAAGTTAGATTTGTGTACCTATCTTGCTTTTAATAAATCAATGAACCCAATTATCTTGTACATAACGAAAACAATGCGCAGTCTACCTCTATTTTAAAGATATTTTCTAGGTGTCATAAACTCGTCTAGTATGTGCTTAATTGATCTGATAATGAATGCAAAGCAAGGATGAGCTATCGATTATGTCTTCTCATCTCTGTAAAAACTCATTATTTTTACACATTTTTCACAAACAACATTCTAGACAATAAACCGAGTCCACTAATTACTACCTACAACCCTTCGTCATTTCATCACGTTTAAAAATATGAGCTTGTATCTATGGTTGTCTTGAGTGGGTGTTTAACTATGGTGTGACGTCATGACATGAATGACGTCTATGTTTACACATTTTATAGAATGTATCGGGTTGGTAAATCTTTTTAAATAGATTGGCGTCGGCGACGTCCATAGATACAGGGTGTATATTTCTTATGTGCTTATTTGTTTTTATAACGGACGGATGTATCAGCTTTCTGAATGTTATCCTCGTGTTGAGACTTGGAGAGGCTATACTTAGTGCAGTGCAGACATAGATGATATTTCATTTTGATTTCTAGTTTTTTTATCATTTTGATATATTTCGATTTGATGCTAGGTTCTCGTAGTTTGTGTTTCATTTTCGGAGGACGAGGTTTATTATTGAGTCAATTTTTTATGAGTGTGAGTACTGTTTTTGAAAAAGCTCGTTGTTTAGTTCCTATTGAAATATCGTACCCTCAATTTATTCATACGAAAGTAGTCTCTAAACATCGGAAATAAGGTCTATAATGGAGTTAGTGGAGAGCAATCACCGGTGACCGCTGAGGGATCGAGCAGTTAAGTTACATTTCTGAATTTTGTTCAGGTGTCATTCTGAAAACTTGTTCTACCTCTTCAATCATTAATCTAGCTATCATTAGTCTAGCTTAGTGAACAAGTGATTGTAAACTAATATGGCAGCCCGTTTGTAGGTACAAACAACATCACATAACATAGTTGAATTTGGAAAGAAAAACAGTACATAATTTTATTTAACACTGAATTAAAATCTGCAATAATTAATGGTTTTAATCTACATATATAAACATGAATGTCCGTTCGTTAGTCTCGCTAAAACTCGAGAACGGCTGAACCGATTTGACTAATTTTGGTATTGAATGACTTGCGGACGTCCTGAGTAGGTTTCAAATGTGAGAAAAAAATTACAGTCGGTACGAAGTTTGCCACGTCAGCAAGTTTTTTTTATGGCATAAGCCGGTAAGCGAGCAGACGGATCACCTGATGGTAAGTAATCGGCGTCGCCCATGAACACCAGAGGCGTTACAAGTGCTTTACCGGCCTTTTGGGGATTAGGAGTTTGAGGATCGTTGGGGATTCAGAAATTGGGGAGATTGGGGAACAGGAGGGTAATTGGGAATCCGGTAACCTCACTCACACGACGAAACACAACGCAAGCGTTGCTTCACGTCGGTTTTCTGTGAGGCCGTGGTATTACTCCGGTCGAGCCGGCCCATTCGTGCCGAAGCATGGCTCTCCCACACTTAAACAAGTTTATCTATAACTACTTCAAACAATGGCCTTGAAAAATAAAATTGTACAAACATGTCAAGAATACTGTTTTATATTTACTAATAAGCTTAACTTATAAATATTTCTCAGTGGAACAGTCTGTGGTCGATATTTTCATAGCTGCACTCTATTGTATTGATTAGTTCATGAGATGAGAGCATCGACAGATTGGTTTGTTTTCAATAAAGAAAGGAATGGGGTTCCGTCTATATTTTTGGCTAGTTAACGAAGATAGGGAACTTTTCAAGGGCATTCTTGCAGATGTTTTAAGTTATGAGATATGAGAGAAAACAGTGTTCTAACAGATTTTAACGTTATTTAGTTTAGTGTGTGGTGTTTTTGTGTTGACTAACAGCATAACATTTTCTATATGATTGTATTCATTGAGATTTGGACTTTTTGTCGTTGTGGAGCAAGTTTCAGGCAATTTTTTTATCAGCAGAAATGCTTACTAAATAGCTACAATAATTCATATCATCGTTTTCGAAATTTTACGTATGGTTTCGTTTATTTTACCAAAGCAAACATTTCAGTTAGTTTTCTATTCAAAATAGGAATGTTATAAACGCTTTTCAAAACACTACGTATCTCAAAAAATAGCATTTCAATAACACAATCAAACATTCCATTTTAGCGTCCATTACGGGCCGCCATTAAATTTGTGTAAAATGAACCAGAAACCAGCGCACGCGGCGATCGGGTAAAGTTGCGAAAATAACGCGCGTTGCCGCGCGGTGACGTGTTGCTGGCGATCTGACAACGCCACCGACATATTGTTCACTAAAATAACCGTGTTTTCACATCACTACAGCTGTTGCACTGTACTAAATATAAGCCAGGAATTTTAGAACGAACGTTAATTTATGTATCGTTTACAGTTTTACCTAACTTGGCTGTCAATGGATGTCGGTATGTTGTTACCGTAGTATTTACATGTGATAATATTTCTTGATACCAAGTACTATAATAATTATCAAATCTTTGGGGTCTATTTGCCTTCACATGTTCATTGTAGATATTTTCTGTTCGTTACAATTCAGTATTTTAAATGTTGCTCTTACTAACTTCTCGTCACTTTTATAAACTAACTTCTACTTAATATGTGAGTAGTTTTCACTTTCAATTGCATTCGGAAACCCCTTTGTTGTTATTTAACAATGTTAGCTATTCCACAGTTTCTTAATTTCCAAAGATTCAGAGATATGTAGAATCTATAATTTATTCATTTCATTATTTTCCGATGTCTAAAGTTCACTATTCCAAAAACAATAAAGCTTTGATCATTTCGATTTATGAGAATACTTTTCAGTCTTAACTCAGTTAAATTTCAAAGGATATTAAAATCAAAGACTACAATTTTGAAGTGGCATTCAAATATCATCTATAGGAAGCAAAAAGAAATTTAGCTCATACTATTTGCTGAACTGGATTCGATTAATAAGTAGCCTACTTTTGATTGAATTAAGTCTTCAGTATAAATTTTAACCCTTTAATTCAAGGAGAAAGTAAACAATACGTTAGTTACGTCACTTAATTCATAAACAAATCAATGATTAACTTAAAAGTTTACTTTGAAACGATTTCTTTGATAAATAATGTCATCGAATAGTTTTCATCGTGGATCGATTTAAAATCGATTTGAATTATTATGTTTCGATGAATTGTGAACCTTTTCCTATGTTTTTGTTAATTACTAGGTCATTCTAAAATATAAATTACAAGAAAGTTATCTAGACTTAACTATTGTTAATGCTCTAGAAGGTATCTACAGAGCTATCTGTCAAAAGTCAAATGCCTGAAGGCGAATCTTGTTTTATTCAAGTATCAAAACTTTCAAAGTTTCTTACCAAGTAAAATACTGAGTAAAGTCGGCTGAGTCTATAAGTTAATACAAACAAAACTCAAAGTATTGTGTTGTATTCAAATAATTGTAATGTAAGTAAATGTCGTACTGATGTAATAAAAACAAATAAAAACTTTTTAAAACCAAACTGTCAAAGTTACGTTATTGTTTCAGGAATTTTGGCAATGTCGAACAACCAAACATCGATTTGAGGGTATCAGATGAAACACAATCGGTGACGTCATCTCACTCACTACAGTAAATTAATTAGGGTAAGTTCATTCCTGATATACCTAAGAAAAATATAGATTTTATATAACCAATAGACGATACTGGATGGTAAGTTGAACGAGTATTAACGATATCATAATGTTATAAAGAAAAAAAATCGCTAGTCACTCCATTCAATGAAACTTTAAACGATCTAAATGAAAAGGTGTTAAAACATTTCAGATGCTTAGTTATTAAAAAGGCTATAATTGTAACTATATTCTGAATTTCAGGGATAGTTCAGCTTGCATGTAATAGTAGGCTCTTTGATGATGTGCCAACTTTCAGTTTCAGGCGCGCCGGTAATGACGTGTTCGCATAACTACCGCCATCTCTCATAATTTAATTCCGCCCTGATTTATCGTTACAGGTAGCAAACGTTACACTTACATTACGTTACATTACGTGTCGACATTGTTAATAGCTGTCGACGAACAATTTGAGGTATTGTGAGTACATTGTAAACGCTTTTACTGCCATGCTTGGGTTAGCCAACAACTTGTATTCAACTTTAGCAACCAATACCTAGAATTGATCTTAACTTCCTATACTTGTAAATTCTTAAGTGTGTATGTTGTCGAATGTAAACATGTGTAGGCAGTGCGTACGTATGTAATTTAAATATATAACAGCTATTATTGTATTCTAGTCCTAGATTTAAATCTAAACATTCATCAACATCCATCGTGTCAATGACTTTCCAGCAACTTCCAAAGGCTGGACAGTCTGAGCTGTAATCGGAAACCGAACATCAGTAAACAAGAGAGTATCGGACCGAACGTCCTAATTACACGATATATGGGCCACGACTGAGGCTAAATAAAAATTGAGACGAGTTTCCTCATCTTGCTAAATAAATACTGATGTTCGGGCATGCCGCAAATAGGTTACAAGCGGTGAGAGCGCGCGGCGTGGGCGGCGCGCGGGGACTCACTATTTTCAGCGAGGACGCGCGAACGATGAAACCCGAGTCATATCCATGGAAAACGTGAGCCGCGCGCGCGCACCGCCCGTCTTTACCCACAACAACTGACACTTAATGCACACTGACTTACTGGCGTACTAACTACATATATGCCAACCCGAGCCAGAAAATACAGAACAACGTATCACAGAACAAAAGCACAGGATCGGCGGAGTTAAAATCCAGGAGCTTGGATACTCCACACACGAGGGCACTTTGTGTCACAGTCTGGCACAGTCCTGGGCCGCGGCGGTGTGGCGGCGGGCCGGGTGAAGTATCCAAGCTGCCGGCGTGGCGGAGCGCCCGCTGCACTCACCTCACGAGCGGGCTGTTCACACGGCGGAGCGACACGCACTGCGCCGCGCCCGCCCTCGCGGTTTCGCCGCGCTCCCACCCGACTATTTTCGGTGCCAAAAATCCAGGATTCCGATCCAGCATCGCAATCGCAGCGAACATGCCGACCGCCACCCGTCACGCTCCCACACACAGCTACTCCACTATTTTTGCTACGATCGCTAACAGACGAGCCTGCGACGACGTCGGCGGATGTGAATATCGAGCAGATTGATCGATCGTTGATATAAAAACACCTCTCGCTGTCAATGCCGGCTATATCGATCAGGTGGCACTGTCCTGCTCGCGCGACGCTTACACTCGTGTTGCAGATTTCCCAAATTCCGCGAGCCATCCGGCTGCCCGACCCCACTATATTTAGCGTAATATCACACTTCATTGAGATCGACACGCGGCTTTTATCTGAAACTAATAACAGCAAAACGATTTGTATTTGGCCCACAAGTGATTTACGTTTGTTTGGCTTTCAATTGTTGAATATTCCATTCAGTTGTCTCGATCTGAGTTCACGAATAGAATGGGCGCACGAGTAATAGGACACCGTACACCATCCCGATGTCCATTTCTGAATATAAATCACAATCAATGGAAAGCTTTACACTCACATAATTTATGGAAGCAAACCGGGTGTGTAACCGACAGAGACGAATTTAGACTACCCTCAAATTGTGTTAATATTATTTGTACGTCCTACTTTATCACTTACAGCAATAGACAGTGTGCGGGATAGAATCGTGCAAGTTGTTACTCTAAATACCCTCGGCCGGTTCAAGGGCAACTCATCAATGTCACTAGGGTAGCGACTGGCGAGATGGCTCAGCTGGGTGAGCTTGATGGACAGACAGACGGGCCAATTTATATTGTATGCAGACTAATAGATGGTTATTGTACACAATTTAACAACTACTTTTGTTTACACCTACAACGTATTTTATAGAAAAGCCCTGGCCTTTATTACTGATAATTTTGTAAAAATATATTTAAAATCGCACCCCTCTCAGAAAATGTTTACAAATTAGTGCAATAGCCTTAAACCATATATTATGTTCAGCATACGAAACAGTCATCATGATTTAAATTGCACTTTAATAATATTACATTAGGTTGAATTGTTAAATAACTAGGATTCCAATAGGTAGCTCTACTTTTTTAACTAGGATTTTATCCTGTGGCGTTAGTGCTAATTTCACACACACATCACACTCAGAACCGAAACAACAATATTTGGATCACACAAATAGTTGATCCGTGAGGGAATCGAACCCGATACACGTTGCACCACACGTAGTCTAAAATATTAATAACTATGTTATAATTTTGTTCATTGTTCCTCGTAGGATTTTACACATATCAATATCAATTGCAATAAAATTAACATAAGACTATCTGGCGGACAATTTAGTAAAGTACAGACATCTCTTATTTAAATTAATACTTCGACCGTAGATAATCCAAAAACTTAGCTTTATCTACGAATAGTACTAGCTTTTACGTTTTAAGTATACATATGAACCTTATTTTAACTACTAACTCTACAAGTATCTGACAGAATAAGGAACACCATGCTGCGCTCGACGACTAAAATCGTTAACGGTGGTCATAACAGCTTGAAGTAGAACTAGGTTGATCCTATCTGCCGCATGTTAGACGAGCGATGGGCAAAACTTACTACTCAGTGGAGCCCACTCAGCGTCAATAGACAACTGGATATGTATGACAAGGATTGGCCGCAAATCTTTACATAGAGAGGAGTGGAAGGAGGGTAGGGAGGCCTTTGCCCTGCAGTGGGACGATCATGGCTGATAATAAATAAATAAATAATAACTATACTGGTATGTACAGAAACTGCTAGCCTCACAGTGCTACGCTGCTACGCAGATTCGTAGCACGACGTAGCATACTTGAATATGGCTACAAAGGCCCAGCGTAGGCTTTTACATAGAATGTAAAACTAATGATGGACTCATACTGTTATTAGCCCCTGTGGGCTTTAGTATTTATACTTGATACTTATACTTATTGATATTTTTATTGTTCATATTAGTTAGTAGATTCCAAAACATACTGATTTACGTCCAGTTTCTATAACCTATCTGTAGATTTGCTTACTAGAGATAGAATTTTGACACACTTTGTTAGCTCATGTCAAAATTCTATCTCTAGTAAGCAAATCTACAGATAGATAGGTTATAGAAACTGGACGTTAGGCACTAACAACGTGGTGGGTTCCTAGGTTTGATTTAAATACTTATTGTACCTGCCTAGAGTCGTTGCTTAAAATTGTAATAGTAATAGCAAAATACACACTAATTAATATAAACAGTCATTATTTCTTTGACGTTGTCGTAAATGAAGGGCATTCTACCTCATCAGTGCTATGGGATCTCGTAACATTTTTATTATGAAAATATTTTGACCCTGCTAAAGGTCAAAAGTTCGTGTCCAAATATCAATTAAGTTTAGTACACAGGTTTTATAACTTTTATGCTACGACTAAATAAAAAAAAATCTTTATTTATAGCCCATAGCATACAATATGTTAATCCAGTATTCAATGACAACTGCACTAGGCACAGCCTGTGTCGCGGCTGTAAAAATACAGTGATTTCCTTAGGATTATTCGAATAGTTAATACCATTATAAGGAAAGAAAAGTGAGTAGGTGTGTGTGTGTGTGTGTGTGTGGATGTGTGCATAAGAATGTCTGTGTGTATGTAGACAAGAGCCCGGCCCGTCGTGTTCAATTTCGAGATAATTTAAGTCAACCAAATATTTTGTGGTTTTCGACTTCACTTTACAAGCAACGGAGATTATTTTGGTAAATTGCAAATGAAGTTTTAACTGCAGGTACCTGGACTCTAAAAGTTTTCTCTTTAGTAAAATGTGGTATGTATTGGAGTTTAACATTTGCTTATGTGCACAACCAACTACTAACGTAATATTATGGCGCTAACTTTGTACCTGTTGTATCATTTTTAATACATAGTTACATCACCAGAGTTTAGCAAAATCTACTCAGTTCTAAATCGGTAAAGAACTAGTCTTTTAGTACTCTATATACCTCATTCATTACACACACTTCGACAAAAAATAAAACACAAATAAATTATTTCATATAAATTTTATTTTACAAGAGTGAACAGTTTAAAGCGCTGATATTTCTTCTTCTGAAGCTATGAAAGTCTTACTGGAATCAAGAATAGGGACTTACGGAAATATGAAGCATACATCAATATAAATAAGGTACATAATAAATTGACGATACACTCATCTTGTACAAAATCTAAGACCTAAATAATCGAGTACAAAAGTTTTCAATTCTATTGACAGTATAATGTATGGTACTTATAAATAAATGGAATGGCTGTAGTCACACTTTGGTTGTAAAATCAGTTACAATTGAGTACTTCTCTTAATCAAAAATAAATTATTTGGACTGTTCAATACAATAACATAAAAAATAATCACCCTTTCTTTCATTAATTGATTTTATGACCAACTTAATTACAGTATTTTTACCGCATATTTTTAAGAAATAAGTATTATCTTTGACGCTAAAAAAACGTGACGTTACAGTAGACAATCACGTACAAAATTCATAGAAAACTGTCGTTTTTGACAGTTCGAAAAAAGTATTGAATTTGAATAGTTGGAAAGTACCCAATTACTTAATCATCATTGTTACTGTGAACCTTAAACTATTGTGATAAGTCACATTTACGGATGGATGAAAAAAGCATCGATGTTAGGTATTCAAAGTGTGACTAACATTAAAAATAGAGCCTAAATATCAAACTAAAAAAATCGTTACACATTTTCATAAGACTATGTTTTACACGTATCATAAAAAACGGTAGTAAAAAATTCGCGGCGCATTTTACACAAAACTTCGGCAGTGTTATTAGGCGCATTCAATGCTACATAAAAGTGAGCTTTGAAGTAATAAAATAGCTGTATCTATCTTTCTATATAAAATTTCTTTGCACAAATTCAGTTTACGACAGCTTTTGGACTACTTTTAAGGCGTCTGCTTTGAGTAAATGGGAAAACCAGTAGTTTCATGTTACAAACCTACTCAGTATTTTTTCCGACGTTATGTGACTACCCCAGATGTTACCTTCTCGATCGATGACTGTTTTCTAGTTGAAAACTTCACCTTTTTGTTTTTTTAATGGTCTTTGAAAGTCTATCTTCCTTTCTATATTTTTCTCTTAGTTAACTTTGGTATGCCATATTTTGTATAGTGATACGGCCGCTCCATGCTATTCGGATAAAACACCGCCCACATAGCTTAGCTTTGAACTCATAGACACAGCTATGAGCAGAGCACAGATTTTCAATGATTACATATTCATTTTAGACATTGCCTACGCATTTTTCAGATATTGCTGTGAATTATGTGATTTCTACCTATATCATTTCAATAATCTGAGTAGTTCTTATAGACTTCTTGTGGAAAATCGGCCACAATTGAGAATTATACAACAATGTAACTACTGTTTTCCATCTATTCCTGGCCAAATATTGCGACTAAACTAGTCGTATCCAGAGCAAATAAGCCCAAAAATGTTTAGAGACATCCCCGAATGAAACTAATCAAAAAATCAATAGGAAATATCCAAAAAGTTCAATGATCGTTCGGTAGTACTCGAGTAGTTCTCGACACTATATAATTGTACAATTAGTCTCAAAAATATTTATACAAATAGACAATTTGGTAAAAATGATAACTGGACATCTTAATTTTGAATTATGCAACCGTATCTTTACATGTCAGGTATGTAAGAATCGTAGTAATTGGCGTTCCTTAGTCTCTGCCTACCCCCATGGGAGACAGGCGTGAAGTTATGTATGTATGTATGTATCTTTACATCGTTAAGTTGTTTTGATAAGAATTAACAACTATTTGTTACCGTTAAGAACGGTAAGGCATAAAATTGCAGGTACAGATTGAAAACTCTAATATAAGCTTAAGTTCTCGTGAGGGAGAGACCAATCACATAGTTTAATGCGTAATATTCTGTCTGAGACTTTCTCTTCTGACCCACACATTACCCACAATCACATCAGCCTATCTATTGCATTTCAATAAATGTTTATCTACTTACAGAATCCACACAGCGCCCAAAGACTAGGTACTAAACAGTTCATTTCATCACATTCTTATTGAAAATCATTTTAAGATGAACAGTACCTAATCAAGCAGTCCTAAGAATTCATCAGAGACATCCAAAGTGCCGCAAAACATAACATCCAAAGTGAACTATCGTTGAAACGACATCCATTCTCAACGTGAGTTCTGTGCAAAGAATATACAGACCATTATAAAGTACAATACATGAAAACCGATCTATTTTCATAATTTAATTAAATTGGATATTTATTTGTAAGACTTCATGTGTTGTTCTTTTATAATAGGCACGTTTTCGAAGCAACAATCCACCGCAGTGCGCCCGCAGTCTTCCCGCCATTTCTCGGCAATATGGCGTGCGTATCCAAGATGGCCGCCTTCAGGTTAATACCCTGACAGGTCTGCGAACGTCTGGTCCACCTCCTCCGCTATAGCCTTGTATTTACTGCGCTCTTCCACCACCTCGTCTGTTAGTAACGTTAGTTGGTTAGTAATATATCAATCGTGTTTAAAAATTAGTAATTAATAATTTATTATTATTTTCACAAGTATGGGCTCTTTCCAGAGATGTTGGGTCAATATTTGAACGTCTTGGCATTTGTTTCTGATTTATATAAATAAAAAAATTGGCGTGAAATGAAATCAGGCAGTGCACGCAACTAAAAAGAAAGCTGAACTCTAAAAACTACAATGCGCAACATGATATAAAAGAAACGCACTACTTACCTAATTTAAGCAGTTTTACTACCCCTTTACTACATCCATAGAGACTAGACTCTCTCGTGATTTAAAGTATTTTAAATATACCTGCCATATACCATTAAGTACTTAGACAATTTTCTAGACTTCCTAGTCTTTATAATATTCCCAAACGGCTGGGTACGCAAGGTAGCTCAGTTTTCCCTGGTAAGTAGAATAAGCAATAAGTGGTATTTGTCATACAATGGGACCAATTTCCGAATCTATGCTATTACTGAGGAATTAGCAAATAGAACTTTTAATAAATTCCATTTCCCCATAGCAGAAATTTCTACTTGTTTTATCTCAAAAATTGATTCACACAGTTTCAAAGATATTTCAATTTTTATTTAATATAGATACCTACTTGGAAGTTCCATTCTCTTCGCTAATAAGACTCTTAGTGTACCTCTATATCTAGGCATTCCAATTTTACAACACTACAAGAGCAACTACTCGGTCTACCAACTACAAAGCATACTATCTATATTTAAAGCAAGGTACTAAATACTTTGCTACAGGATACACAAATAAAACAAAAAAACATAAGTAATAAATTAATTTATTATATTACTCGAAAATAAATACCGCCATAAAGCTATGGATTTTAATACTTTAAATTAGGAGTATAAAATATAAAGTAAAATACAAAATGTATTCGGATATTGATGGCGGGAGCTGGGAGTAGCCGCGTGCCGGACGGACCCGAACATTACCGAACTTAACCGATCGTGACAGTTTATTCCTTGAGGATGAGCTCCACGAAGGCGGTGTCCAAATCGTCTCCGATGTCCTTGTACTTCTCCTTCTCGGCGACAAGTTCGTCTGTGTATTGGACAAACAATTACATCATGTGTCCAAACATAAGATAATTTTAAATAAAATATGTTATAATCCTGCAATTTCTTAGTTTCCATTTGTAAAATAAACTTTCCTAAGTCAAGTCGTATGGAAAATTAGTTGCAGCGTAAAGGCGGTTACAGACGGTGCGATGCGAAATGTTGGTCGATCGCAACTCGCAACTTTGTCGGCAGTGCTATGTGCAAGCACGTTCTCGATCATGCTGGTGGGTGTATCCTCAGTCGCCGTGTTCAGTTCAACAGCAGACAAATGTTGCAGTGTTACATGAAGTGCCACGTATTATTCTGCTTGTTAATAAAATCCGTCTGTAAGCGCACTACATACGTATTATATCAGCTTAGCGGCAGTAGGTAGAAAAATTAAATGCTTACATGTGTGTGTCCGTGTTATTCTGAAGCCATGCGTCGGTCTCGCGCGGTTATAAAGCTTGCTTTTGTTTTACGACGATAATGTAAGGTTTTCCAATTCGTTGAAATCTAGCATGCAAACTCAGTTAGAAAGCTTTCGGTAGTAGTTTTGTTATTTAATGATTGACTAGAATATCAAGACGCGATCGTGATGTAACGTAAATGCATGTGAGCGGGCAGCGCGGCAGTCAGTGGCAGCACGTGCAGCGGTCGCAGGTGCGCGCGGTCGGCAGCGCGGGCGTGCGCAGGCCGAGGTCGTCGAACGCGCAGTCCAGCTCGCCGCCGATCTCGTGGAACATCTCCTTGCTGGCGATCAGATCGTCTGCGGACAGCGGCGCGGTCACTCGCAGCGGCTCAACTACCGTTAGTTGCCAATATCACACGCATGCAGACGCGAGGTCCGGCGGGGACCAAACGGGGAAGGAAATTCCATCAGCTATAGTTTGAGATATTTATTGCCAACATAAAAAATAAACTCCGAGTGGATGTCGCACTATAATTACACCGGGACCACGACCCGGAACGCGGTAGAAGAGTAAATAGAGTCCGAAAATAACGAGCAAAGATTCGTCAAGCCTAAGAGGGCGGCGCAGCTTCAGCAGGAGCTGCCTCCGCCGCAGGTGCAGCCGGGGCGGGCTCAGCTGCGGGCGCCGCGGGGGCCGCCTCCGCCGGTGCTGGCGCTGCTTCAGCAGGTGCCGGGGCTGCTGCGGGGGCTGCTTCTGCAGCGGGCGCCGGGGCTGCGGCCGCATCAGCCGCGGGTGCAGCAGGTGGTGCTCCCTCCGCCGCGGGTGCGGCAGGAGCACCCTCCGCAGGGGGTGCAGCAGCGGGCGCTCCTTCTGCTGGAGCAGCCGGAGCCGCACCCTCTGCGGGTGGAGCGGGTGCAGCTCCCTCCGCAGGGGCAGCTGGAGCAGCTCCTTCCGCGGGTGGAGCAGCTCCTTCTGCAGGGGGTGCAGCTGGAGCAGCACCCTCAGCAGGAGGAGCGGCACCATCAGCGGGAGGAGCTGCAGGTGCTCCCTCAGCCGGAGGAGCCGCTCCTTCAGCAGGCGGAGCAGCACCCTCAGCAGGCGGTGCAGCGCCATCCGCGGGTGGCGCAGCTCCCTCTGCGGGTGGAGCTGCGCCATCAGCAGGAGGAGCTGCACCGTCAGCTGGCGGCACTGCGCCGTCGGCGGGGGGAGCGGCACCGTCTGCGGGTGGAGCTCCATCTGCGGGGGGCGCAGCACCCTCGGGTGGTGGTGCAGCCGCGTCGGGTGCTGGTTCGGGCACGGGCTCCTCGACGGGCGGGGGCGGCGGCGTGGGTTCCTTGGGATGGAGGCGCTCGTACTCTTTGCGCGCGGCCTCGCGGATGGCGGCCATCTGGCGGTCGTTGGGGTCGACGCCGGGGATGAGCTCCACGAAAGAGTCGTCGATGTCGTCGCCGATATCGTTGTACCGCTCGATCTCGTTGATGAGGTCATCTGCGTCAGTCGGCGCGTGAGAGCTCGAGCAGAGGTCGCATGCGGGCGTTAGCACGGCCTAGTCTACGGGGACGTGCAGGTCCATGCCCCGTGCCTCAGACGATGGTATGTACAATGCTTCCTGTCCACGCTCGCGACCGAGCTTCTCTTCGTTTTGTGCGAATAATTTTGGTTCGCCCCGAACTTCCCGAAGTGATCAACGGAATTCAATTCAATGATAATGAAGATGAATATATTACATTTAATGATTGCGACATTATAGCTGATAGAATCGTCATCGGGCGTTAGTCGAAGGGATATCACAAGGGATCACACCAGTTAGTAAAAACACAACAAGTTAAAAATAATAATATATATTCATAAACACTTTTATTAGAATACTCTTATAAATCATTAAATTATTTTTCACGAACTTATCTATCAATTCATTAATCGATAACATTAAAAAGACGGACTCCCTACGTTCTGTATGTGTGGGACGAGTGTATGGGTAGGACAGACCCGCAGGCCGCCCGTCCCACGCGCGGCCCGGCGAGCCGAGACTCCGCGGTATTGCCAGCACATCACGCGCGCTACTTGGAATAGTCGCCATTTATTCATTCGCGAATTGTCAACAACACCACTACACCTCGCCACTTGGGTGTAGCTTAAATTCATTTTAGTTAACCACGATACCGTAATGAAATTATATCTATCAATCAATTATCCAACATTCCGTAATATTCCGATATAACGTGGACGATCTTATTATTCAGGTCTTAATTGCATCTATATTTATGCTTTAAATTATTACATATATTCGGTATCGGTGTGCTTTCCTAAATTAACTGTAAATGGTACCCCAGTGCAGGCGTGGTCTAGCGGTGTCACTGACAACATACGTATTCATCGATTAATTTAAATAAATAACAACAAACTCAATTATGACACGAGAAAATCATTCTTCAAACATAATAGAATATCAATTATTTCCAATTTAGCAAGAATATTCCTATAAATATCATTATTTATTGTATTACCGTCACTCTTGAATAAAAATATCTAATCTCTTCACTAACATTAAGTAAATTAAGTTCATAATAAATTGCAAACAGTGCATATGAAAAATATAGCATACCACGTATTGTATGCACTATCTCTCGAGTGAAAAACAATATCGAAACAGAATACAGCGACTAATTTGTTCTACAAATACATAGACAATTTAAATATTGTACAAAAACTATGTGCATTTTATAAATAATGCTAAATGTCTTTTAAGTTGATTGTAAAATGTATAACATTTGGACCCTTTTGGAATGTCGATATTATCATTTATACCTTACACTAAGAGTGCTAGAGAAGCGATAACTGCATACGTCATATAAATATCGATCATTGACATAACAGGCACGCTCGTAAAGTAATGACTATAAACAAATTACACGTTTCAACTATACGGACATAAATATTAGTAATTTGTGGATGTAATAAAAAAAATTGCACATGGCAGTGCTTTCGTAGCAAACACTCGATTTTGAAGTTACAAATAAAAAGCGGCTGGCAATTATTCTATAGCTAATAACATCTAGGCGCCCGCTCGACTCACTAGCTCTCTTTGCAAAAAGACTTGGAAAACATGTCAATTAAATAAAAACTTTTTGGAGCACACCGTGCACTAAGTGATTGGGGGCCAATAGGAAAGTGGTTGGCGCGAGTGAGAGTGCGGGCGACACGAGGCGAGTGAGGCGAGCGAGGGACAGTGGCGGGAGTTCACATGTTCTGTATGTCGTGCAGCGTGGCCTCCATCTCCTCCTGCAGGAGTTTGCTCTTTTCGCGCTCGGCCACCAGGTCGTCTGCAAGGGCGACGCGGCCACGGTCAGTCACACACACAACTAACTACTGTTCGCTCCAAACGTACAAACCTTCAGTTACCATTTTCTATATCACAATTAACAATAATACTCAGTTAACTAGGTAACCGATTTGGACATTTGAATCGAACAGTACAGGCAAAAACAACATCAATAATAAAACCATGCTAGAATTACAGAAAAAAAATCACATCAAAGGATCGAGCAGTCTATTAGATAGGAGACACTTAAAAAGTCATGCTAACAAAAAATATTGCACGAAATTGATTTTGGATCATGCTGCACCAAACATTTCTAAATTTGATCCAAGAGATCATGGAGTGCATAGATCATGATTAACCAAAAACAATTTTGTGAGCAAAAAATAAAAATAAACTCTAACACAGTTACTATGAAATTAAGATAAAAAATAAGCTTTAGATCGTAGCAGAAAAGACAGAAAAAGCTTTCAAAACTATTGTACAGCATTTAACTCGAAGCCAGATCTAATGACGGCTGAGATGGTATCAAAAATATAAGTGCGTAATGTCCAAAGCCTTTGTTATTTTCAAACATGTTATTTTAACTTGACTTGTGAAATATTTTAATTTAAACTTAACCAAACTGCTGTACGATGTATATTCTGTAATATATCTGGAGACCCTTGAAAACTTGGAAAACTAGCATCAATAAATATTATCATTATTATATATTTCTACTTTTGACTTTTATATACGTGTCTCTTTTATGAAATATATCTCATTTTATATATTTGTTTGATATAAGAAATGATAGATTACCTTCAAGCCTGTCGACCTCCTTCTGGAGTTTCTGCACGGAGCGCTCAGCAAATTCAGCGCGCGCCTCAGCCTGGAATTATTGGTAACACTATTTTAAATTCTGTTCATATGTCAAACAGCCTATTTTCTGTTACTTTTTATTTCGAATAAAGGCATTATTTCTTGAAAATGTAATAATAAGAATTGGTTTAACAAAAAAAAAATTGGTGGATATTATTTATCTTGACGAAAATGACTTCGTTCTGAGATCAGAAAATAGACTGTTTTATAAAATTAATCAAACATGCAATGAATTTAAATCCCAAAAAAACTTTACTTTTTATTTGTAATGTAAGAGAGAAAACTATAACATTTACAAAAAAAAACTATTTACAATTTATTAATAAAAAAATATCAAACTATGTTACGAACAACAAAAGCTTCACAATCGACATGCAATTTACCTTTACCGAAAGCTGCTAAGTGCTGATTGGTGAAGATACAACACTAAATACGAAAATACCATTATACCCAAAATTATTACAAATGGATGTGAAATATTTATAGAAAAATTCCCATAACCAACAAGTTGTCCTGGTCGTCTTTTGGTGCAAGTACAAAAATATCAGTTAACAATGATGTTATTGAATATAATAATATCAGGCGATATTATTTGATATTATTTTCTAAAAATAACAAATAATGTAACGATGAGTAATATTAATCTGAATCGATACAATCATCTTTTTGTATGAGTAACGGTCAATTGACATCGTATCGTAGGTATATAAATAAAATATACGACACTATGTGTCACTTATTTATCCTTTTTTTATTGTTTTCAGACGACCAGGACCCCAGTATTGATCACAACTTACTTGCGATAGTTTCTGCGAGAGGCTGTGGATCTTATCCTCGACGTGCTCGCGAGACGCCATTGCCTAGCCACACAGGACGGATTACTAATGGCAAGCAACCGACATGCCACCGACATGCCGCCGCCATGTTGTGACTGTACACTTTCCACAAAATGGCGTCTATGAGACGCTGATAGAGCAGGAATACTTTTGGAGAAGTAGGAAATCTTTTTTAAGTATATCATGGACAATTCAGCTGGAATTCTGGAATCTGGATCCAGCTATTGTAATCCCTAATCATGGAATCCTAATGCGGAAATATGAAGCAGGTAACGCTTGAAAACATGTTTACTGGAACAAATATCATGAAAATAAATATTGATAAAGATGGTATAATTACATCAGAAGGGGTAATTGTTGTGCAACATCTCGAAAACCAAATGAGGCTTAAAGATTTTAAAGATAAATGTGTAGGTAACGACTTAGATGGTGACTTTGAAATTTCAAAATCAACATAATCCAAGAAACCTCGCAAAACAATTACAAAAGCCAAAAATAATAAAAAGCGTACAATCACAACACAGGCGCAGTTCTTACAGGTAGGTATGAAAGTAGGTATTAAATTACACAAGTACAGAAATAGGAGATGATAGTCTTGTACATAGATACATAGATGAAGCACCAACCGCCGTCAGCCACTCGACACTAGAGCCTACACCAACGAACGTAGCCTTTACGAAGCCGCACCTTGGACTTACAAAAATGTCCACATGAACCACTACATTGAGGAAAAACTAGTGGTTACTTGTTCAGAGTGACATTTTTATAGTCCACGGCACAACGTACTCGTACTACCCCAAAAACACTGAATGGCAATGAACATGAAACGCAACTACAACCGAAACCGTCTATCTACGTAAGTCCTCGGGTCCGGCTGTCATTTTACCTCTTTCAGTTGAGCGTCCAGCAATTTTACTTGACCCTCGTATGTCTCTTCTCTTTGCGTAGCCTGCGAGTATTATTTGTTAACGAAAAAACACAAAACAGCGAAAACTGAGTCATGCGGCATCGCGCAGTGTTGCAGTGTTGTACTGTCAAACAACGCTGCGCGATACTTAGTAAAATTAACGGATAAAAAGTACACTAAAACTATATTACACAGCGACTAACTGTTAAAGAAAGAAAATAAAAAACATTCAAACAGCAAACAGGAGGTAAATCAAAATGGAGGAAAACTGAACACGAATTACAGACGAACTACTCTCTGAATCCTATTTACCATCACCAAAGTCAGAAGACTGGTAACTCGAATGGTAAATCAGATAGAGATTAGGTGTGCGGCAGAATGCAGTTAGGCAAGCTAACGTAAACACTCGCTTATATGAACTGATCTCGTTCGAGTTCACACCTCCTTTAGGCGGGTGGTGAGGGTTTTGATCTGATTTTTGTACTCCTCTTCGCGTTGGTTGGCCTGTGTAGAACGTCACTTGGTTACTCGGCGAACATTATGGGGAGAGCACTATACATTTCACACACGTTCTTTCATTTGCATCATTCATACAATTAGCATTTACTTGGAAGACCAACTGCTTCGTCCTAGCCTTATTCATTCAATGGAATTCAAAACAATGAGTAGGTACTTTCAAGGGATTTCTAGGGTTGGTGCATCATTCAAAATTTATTTTCTGCTGTTGAAATAACATAATGATATTATCAAAAGGGACTTCAATATTGGACATCCCTAGAGTAGAATTCATTAGCTTAATATTTCCTAGCTTATGAGATAATGTATAAAATCACAGATATATACCTTCTCCTCGGAGACTTCCAGGGACTTCAGGTTGTTACCAACGACACGGAGTTCCTCCTCAAGCTCGACGATTTTGCTGAGGAACAGATAAGAGAACAATCAACTTCTACTGTAATAATAAAGTCGTATAATTAAAAAAATTGATACTATACTGAATAACGATTATAATTAATCTTTTTAAATTTATTATCTCTTTTGCAACAGTTGCAAGGCTTAACTTGAAATTGCCCCAAATAGGCAGTACCTTTGTAATAGGAACCAAAGTGAGAATATTGTCCATAATCAAGAAGGAACTATTTAACTACAGTTATTATATATAAATACTTGTTCTATTTAACTAGAAAATTTAACAGCTTCTAATCAGTATCCATTAACCTGAGGGGCAATTGATCAGTGACCGACATATTTGACAATGTAAACGTGTCCTCTTACATCTAATAATCAAAAGCACTTGTAAATTAAAAAAGAAGCGTGCATGTTAGGATTAATATATTATATGATTCTTAGTTATGTGTAGTAGTCGCTTGAATTCCTTATACGTTTATTTAATGATCAAATCAGTCCTGATAAGGACTTCAAGCAGCTATCAAACAATCATGCAGTGTCGCAAAGGCGATGAATTTAGGTGTACCCGACTTTTTAATCGCAAATCTCAAGTGGGTAAGCCTTGGGTAGCGATACAATTATCATCGCCTCAGCAACTTACGATATATACAATTTATCAGCATGTATCAGTGAAAATAATGGAAACGCATACAGATAACAGTTTAATTTGCAATTTAATTACTTCAAGCGTAGACTTTCTCATTTTCACTGACACACGTTGTCTTAGTAAGTGTAGCATGATCTCGTGCACAGGAGTTTTCGTCAATTCATTAATGAATTCGATTATGTCGTGTGGAACTACTGACATCAATAGATCTTCTATCGATACTAACAGTTCTACAGTAGCCTTCAAATAATGTTTACTCTGTTCAACTCGATTTTCAGTAATGGATTTATCAAACAATTCGTCAAAACAAACTACTTGAACATGAGTAAACCTTTAGTAACAGCTGGCTACACAGCAACATTTCCTGTTTCTTCTATACACGAGCCAACGCGTAGATTCGGCTTAACTGTTTAGGAGTCTTCCAATATCGTATTTATTTTAAGTTGAATAGTCTTTGGAGGCCAGTAGACGCGTGGTGGCGCACGTGTAGTGAAGCGGTACTCACCAGTCGCTCTGTTCGGCGCGCTCCTCGGCCCGCTCGAGGTCCTGCTCCATCAGCACTAGCTTGCGCGCCACCTACCAGCCGAGCGTTAGTACACGCCAACGCACACACACACAACACTAAGCTACCGAGCCGGGCACCGCTCTCGACGCGCTTCGCAGTGCAGTGCTACGTACAACTATACAAGTGTCCAACTTTGTGTCAACGTTTGTGTTTCAAATACAGATGTGGAAATGTGCACGAATGGTTTTTTTTTAGTTAAATGTTTTAACAAAGTTACCAAATGAGATTACGTTAAATTACTGGGTGACAAGTAGAAAGTTGTCGAGTAAATGAAACCTTACTACCATAGTGTTTGTCGAGCTCTTTCGAGACTCGCACTTTATGTTAATGGACTTTCGTCCGTAGCAGGTGTGCACGTATTTATCAAGTGCAGACATTTGTAAGTTAAGTGCAGAAATAAAGGTCCGGGTGATGTCCTGCTAGAACTAAAAAGCAAAGCAGTGATATTGGAGCTAAAACACAAACAACAAAGTGAGCAAGGATCACACAAAGCAGGGGCTGTCGAGAGCGGTGTCAGAACTCACATAATTAAAAAATAAACGAGGGTTGTCCCAAAACATTTAGTTCTAAAATATTACTTTTTTCAATAAAACATTATTAATTATCTAAGTGCTATCTAGTGCATTATCGTATTCGTTAGGTGATGTGTGCGCTTGCATATGTGCGGCACGCATACGGCCAGTAATTCTGGTGTAATGCGGTGCATATCTGAAAACGAAAATTGCCCTATACCACACATATTTCCTGACATCCTAACCTATAGCCACGTTTAAGTAATACACACACTGAAGACAGAAGTTTAGTCGACACATGGACATGATAGTTAAACATTTGCATAAGAAATATCCATGAAATGGGGCAACCCTTGTTTTAGTCGGCTAGAGAGCAGCGACGCTCGAGTGCGACGTCGAGGGTCACTGATCTACACCGTGTCCTTATAATTAAGCAGTGCTGCCGGCCCAATCAACGCGAGCCGGCACCACCGTATTAATGTCATGACAATGCAAATTAATTTAATGTCCTGTTGAACAGCTTCCGCCTGGAACGCGACCTAGAATGGGCATGCAATAAGAATAACAGTGAGAGCCGATGTTAGAAATACCTATGTAGGTAAATCGGGTTACTGTGCAGAATGTTAAGAATGCAAATGAACAACCATGCAGAACGGAGGCGAAAACTTGCAAAACAACGCGTCGGGACCACTGCGCTAACGACCAGTATCGCGTGACACGCCGAAATAACAATGTCCGAGCGAGACGCGCGCAAACTACTTCGTGCCATTCTTATTTCGGCGTGATGTTAGCAAGGCCTCGCGGCAGTGGCCCGTCGGCGCTATGGAACGGAAACCTACGATTCGCCGGACTCAGCACGCTCCTCTGCGCGCTCCAAGTCAGCCTCAACCATGGCCAGCTTACGAGCAACCTGGAGATACCACACTACGTTAAACAACCAGTAATCACAGCTTTATCGACACCAACAAACATGTATGTCATTCGTTAAGGTTTAATGTCTGTCACGGCGTAGTCTTGAGCAAGTACACCCTACTTATATGGAAGTAATGCTTATGTAACGACATATGCGACGAAGGAGGCTAGTCCACCGTATAAGGCGAACCGAGCAAGATCAGGCGCGATACGATTCCTTCTTGGGACGCTGACTTTTACGACTGCCTTCACTTCTCCACGCAGGGTCATATGTCAGGGGAATTAGGACGTATTATTGGTTCGCTAAACATCTGGCATCAAAGTATGATGAATACGTCTTCAAAGGAAACATGTCGTAGATGGATAGCAGTATCTAATCATGAAGCGATAATACACCACTTTCGAGAATCATCGCTCTGTTTTCGTGACTATTTGCTCAATGACGTAACGAACTCGAAACAAGCTCACACGAGTTAATTTGCAGGGTTTGGTTAATATCACTTCGAAAATTCACACCTCAACATTTAGTAAGGAAGATTTTGAATTTAATTTAATAAAGGGTCATTGTAGGAAAAAATATTTAAAAACAACAATGGAGTTATTTTGAAAAACAACACTGTCAGTAAATAAGGAAACAACAAGAGTGTTGACATGAAGTTCGCCGTTCGGTAAACACTGGAACACATTGACCGAATATGGAAGAATGGCGATGCGATTATTCAAGACGATGCAACAGATGGCATCTTTATGAAATATTCATTACATGCGTATTGCAAGCAAGAAAAGCCAAACCAAACGACATCTAAACTCCCATATAAAGACCTCATCGTATTTCTTGTCGGCTTCCTCGGCGAGGAACCTGGCTTCCTTGAGCTGGTTCTCCAGGGCGTCCATACGCTCTTCATCGGCCAACGACCTGTTCTCGAGGACCTTACGGGCGCTGAACCACGAAATACAACTTTAGTACATGATCGAATGGTATCTTAACGGTGGGGGCGTTTTCAAGGGTAACCCATTTGTTAGAAGACATGCAAGTAACGAACACGCTAGAGAGGAACATATAAAGCGACAAACAACCTGGAACCGGACAGCTGGAATATAATGCGAACCGAGCAATAGTGAGCTCATCGCCGCAGTGAGCGATGTTTTAGTTTATTGCCCGTTTCAATGTAAAGTGGCAAATATAAACCCACTACGGGATTTTTATTTGCTTTAAACGAGTCTTTCTATTCCGAACATTACATACTGGCTAGTCTTGCTAACTGTTCATCAATATGATTCTCATTACGAATTTTGTTTACTCATCCTTATTAATGGATTGCGACTTATTACATTCGAGTACGTCACTTCAACCTTTACCAAAACTTTGCTTTCTGCAATATTCGGAACTTTAACATTTAAAACCAGACGATCCAGGTCTCGGTTATGACACTTAATGCGAATATTTCGTTGTGTTATAATAATTATAAATTCAAATACGAAACGAGATTGTCTAGTTTTAGAATGTCATAAATCTAATGCAGTCTGTGTTATTACCAATATTCTTATCAGCTTGACACCAGAACTCTTCAAATGTATTTATCAAACCGTTATTATAAATCGATTTCATGATCATTTTGTCTTTCAACAACTATTAATTACGTCATAGATTAGCTTTGAAATAACTGTTATCTTTTTAATGGGAGTCAATGCTCAACGCTCCGTGAGTTGAGGTGCCTCAGTAATATGAATATTTGATTCATCCCTCTGTTCGCTGTCGGCTTATAACTTAATTATCACGGCACGACCAGGGTGCTAAAATATGTTAATTTTAATGATACAGAGGGCGATTGTCGTAATAACACGTTAATGATGTCAACAGAAGTTTCTCACTGACATTCACATTCCATTATAGGCAATGATCAGAGCTAGGAGTGTTTCAATCGTTTTGGAATGGTTCAAGTAGAAGAAACTTCGTTCGACGGAGTATAGGAGTATATTATTTGGATCTGACGTTGGACAAGCATTCACCTCTTCGTATTTCTTGTCGGACTCTTCGGCGATGAGCTTGGCCTGCGACAGCTGTGCCTCCAAGATGGCGACGCGGTCATCCTCCATATTGGTTCGATTCTCCAACGCCTTCCGTATTCTGGTTAGTGCGGGGTCAAACACATGCGTGTTATAACATCGATAAAAACACTCGTTATGTGGTGTATGTGGCTATTTTTATTTAATACATCCCTTTGGAAAATCATTTATCTTCATCGTCTTATTTGAAAATAAGCGATTTCCAAATTATTTGAAAATTGGCTCATGGATTTAAACAAAAACAGATTAGGAAAGAAAGATTCGTAGAAACAGTTGTAATACTCAAGAATATGGTGGTTATGGGCATAAAAATAAAAACAATAGAAACAATCATGCACACAGTTATATCAAAGTAGAAATATTTACAACAAAATATAAAAATAGACGTTCTGTTCCCTATTGGTAATCCAATTTAGCTTAGAATTTGAAGAAGCCACTCAATACGTGAGTACAGTACGTATGTGGGTTCAATGTCGTTGGCTTATATTGCTACGGACGGATTGTTGAATCCCTCTCATATTAATTTATCACCTACGGTGATGTAATGTTTTCGAATGTGATTACTAATTACAAGTCAATGTGCTTAGTACTTAAGAAGCTTCTTCAAATTCAGATGTCCTAATAGATTCATTGTTAAATGTAGTTTTGGTCTAGTTTAAAACTTATAAGACAAAAAATAGACCATCTCAACAAGTGTTGTGTCAAAAAAAATATGGAATACAATCAAGGATTCGAACCCAGACGAGTATTTAATTGAGCAGTCTAGGGTATTTGTATATGTGCACTCATGACGAGTGAGCGTAACATCCTATATCCTTCATTAAATAAAGCGGACATGTGTTATTTGTCGGACTCACCGTTCCGACTCATCGGCAGCCTGGCTGGCCTCTGAGAGCTTGGCGGTGGCGGTGGCGAGACGCTCCTCGGACCTCTCGAGGTCCTCCTCCAGCAGTTGGATGCGTCGGTTGAGGGCAGCCACTTCGGACTCAGCCTGTGTCAACAAATAAAATCCATCAATGTTTTGTTTAAAATATCACCATTACCGTGGAAAAAATTGTAGGTCGTTCTAAAGACTTCGAACAAAACACAGAAAATCATATTATTTTAGCAGCCTTGTTGGAATCCAAAGGTGGAAAAATTACTGTAAACTTAATCTAAAAACAAAGGGTCGAAAAGAGACTAAATTAGTTCCATCAAAGTACGCTTGGCATACTTGTAATCTCTGAAATTCGAAGAATTTGTTATGCTAAGTATTAGCCATACGAGTTGGAATATAAGTTGTTCATAACTATTTTTAGAAACTGCACATGTTTATAAGTAAGTACTGATTGTTATATAATTCCAATATCTGTTTATAGGTTTCGAATTTTTGATATCAACATAATCCGGAACTAGATTAATTTGATACGAGTAAAATTAGATTTTTCAATAAAACCAAACTTATTTGTTGGTTTCATTAATGTTACGGAAAATGTAATGTAAATATAATCAGTAGAATGGAATGCAATACTCAATGGCGTCGTATTCTTAAAGTTTGTGCAAGCAACATAATAAATGTTTAAATATTCTAGCATTTGAGGTGTCCAAAGTTGGTGACCATAACACAGGTACTTTTGGCCGTAAGAATGTCAATGTACAATAGACATTGTTAAACGTTGGAACACTATACGTGTCGAGAATAAACCATAAGGCAAGGGGACACATTTTGCGTTACTTTATTTATATTCAGTCTCTGCACGCTCATGACATCACGCGTCCTTGCCGCGAGGAAGCACACCCGAGTCCCAGTTTCTCCTCCTTTTATCCTGTGTCGTCATCAGTGCGTGGTAGCTAATAATAGTCATGACTAGCCCCGACAACTAAATCAACCTCATTCTAATACATTTCTTTGCATGACATATTAACAGCAATTATGCGAGTCAGTGAATGTATCTTCATAAAAAGTTTATAAAAACTTCCATTTCTAACGTCTCGAGCGACAAGAAATATATAATTTCGATACATATTTTTTGTTGGACCACAAGACAAATAGGTGTCTAGTCGCGGCTATGTTTTAGAGATCAGTAGTCAAGCGTCACCTTGAACTTAGTGTATAATTCAAATTGACGTTTACTTGAGTCTATTTAAAAACGGTGAGTTAAGCCTCTTATAGAAGGTTCGTTGACCTTTAGCTTTTGATCAATGGAATTCAGAAAGCATGGGACATCATTTTCTTGTACCTTATTATTAATGATTGTTGCATGCTAGATGGACTTTGAACTCCACAGGTGCATATTATATATTGCCTTTAAAAGTTTTACTATCACCGATAACCAAAACATTGTTAAAATTTTGTAGGATCGGTTAGGGCGGTGGCATTGTGTCTATTCAAACGTCGAATACAAAAGACTAGCCCTTGCAAGCTCAATAAATTGTAACGCAACACCGTCACGCGAAGGGACTGTCATTTCGGATGCCATGTTGGGTGCAATGAAGCTAATTCATTATTGTTGGTAATTCCCCACGCACTTTTGTAACATCAAACTTTTATCAAATTGTAGTACCCAATGTTTCACGGTATGCAAGGACATTGGGAACTGAGCACCTAAGTAAACGAGTTCTAATTTTAACAGCCTATTTGGCATTGTTATTAATAGATATAGGTACTTAGATAGATTTATGTTTAAAGGTTTCCTTAATGCAGAACACATTTTAGTATGCGTTTTGTGGTCATTCTGAAAATGCAGGATTTCCTCAAACGTTTCCTCTAAGCATTATTTTTAAAATTGACCGCAACTATTTATGTCAGCTCTCAGTGTTAGTACACGCCCACAGTGTGTCACAAAAAAATCTATTTCAACAAAACGTTTTCTATTTACAACTCTAGAAAATCATTTGTTATAAAGTTCATTTTTTCCACGTTCAGTAATTACTCTTTCACGCTATCTCAATTTAACATTCCTTATCATCGTTTTGATACACTTAAGACGATAAGACGAGTAATGTTCTACGAGATATCGCCAGCATAGCGCAGCATAGATTACGGAACACTCGTTAAGGAACGTTAAGTTAGTATGTCATCAATTATTCGAAAATACATGAGGACCAAAACGTTCAATTGTCAAATCGTCTATTTGCAGGTGTTTATGATCTATAGGAGCATTACTGGCTTGTCGAGTTACGTCATACGACGATAACGGCGAGCAAGTCGGACACGCCTTCACGGCGCCAGCGGTCCTTCGAGGACGTCCGAACAACAGGAATGTACTAAAGGGTGTTAAGCTTCACGAATCCAGCCGGCTCGCTCTACATGTGCCACTAAAGACCGGTATTCGACCTCCAACGCAACCAAACCTGTTACGTGTAACAGAAACCGGCGCACACCCGAGCACCAATAAAATTATGTAAAGACAGACTTCAAGAAAACCTTCAAATCCCAATGTCTCCGAAGAGTAACACTTTTTTGGGAACAACACTAAAGTCGACGAAAGGAACCGTATTCAACGCAAAGAAATAATTATTCGCCTTCTCTTTCTAGGAGATTAAACCGAGATGAATCCGAAAGAGAGGTCAATATGCGTACGTTGCTTGCACACCTAAGTATGGCCGGACATTACTCACTATAGGTAGATAGTACAAGACTACTGATAACTCTCATATTTTGTCCCAATATGAATCCAACACAGGTACACATTGAAACCAACAAATCACAAAATTCACAGCACAATTTTAAAACACGTTTTCTTACTTCTTCTCTCCGCATAATTTCCACTTGTAAACGTTTGTGATACTCCTCGCATTCGTCCTTATATTTCTCCATTTCCTCTTTTGTCTGGCGCATTTTTCTTTTCAAAACGTCCAGAATCGTTCCTTGCTGCATGTTTGTCGTCATTTTTATGCACTTTTGTGTTTAAATTGAATGCTTAAATGCTAAAAACTAGAGACACCTCCGCTCTACTCGCGAAAATGCCAACTGACTGGCCCCGCTCGTTATTGCCCCGTATCGTCGAGATGGGCACGGCACGAATGAACACAGCCGGCAAATAAAATGGCCGCCACCGAACCTAGACGCTGCAACTTTATCGTTACTGTGCTAATTAGCTGCGTTTCTGACTTATAACACTGACGAAATAATCAGTTAACGATCACGAGCTATTTATTCGAAGTATAGACACTAATATTTCACACAATTACACATTCTCAAATGACTTTGACAGCGAAACATGAACAGAAACGTCACCCGCGCGGACACGACGGTCGCGATAAGTACAATCGACCGTACTGCCTGCAGGGCAAGTAGCTCCACCTGTTAGCATTTGTCGGAAACTACATCCTGTAGGGTCACAAGCAGTGTTTGGGAAGAAAGCCCAAAAATGTGGGATGGGCGAAACGGTAGAGTGAACTTATACAATAAATGCTACGGAAGTGTATTTTTTAAATTTAGTGTAGGGCTATTACCGCTTTTGTATTGGAATCATGGGAAACTTTTATTTGAAGACTAGCGTGAATAGGATAAACTCGGTTCTTTTGAAAGAGAGGTCAACCCAATGAATTGGCTCAATCAAATTGTTGAATTGTTGTAAAAAATTATGAAACAAAAAAGTAAATACTACGAGTTGGTAATAAATCAACAACGCCATCTAGTGTGAAATTTCGCAAATAGCTGTTATTTCCTGCAGCCAATGACAGGACAGACGAACATGAACAATTTACACAAGACTGCCGAAATTATATGACGTCATTTGGAAAGTATGTGCCTGTTTTAAATTCCGTTAAGTAACCGAGCGATTGCAACAAAAAATACAAGTCGGTAAAACAGTTAAACCGTACTCTGACGAGGCCAATGATAACTAAAGTGAAATTCAGGTATTAAACACGGCCAAATTAGACTTTTACACTGCACAGGTACCCAGACTTTGATGCAATGCTATATTACCGACGACGTAACTTTTTCAATAATTTGTCCTATCCACATAGACATAATTTTTCTTTCTCTTAAGATCTAGACATATTATTACAATATCCGACCAAGTGGTACCAGTCGTTATGCTTTTTGAATACAATGGATATGAATAGATGATTCTAATACACGATTGTTATTTTAATTTTATGCGACATTAAGTGAGCAATAACCTCTGGAAAGGTGACTCATTTTACATCAGAGAACAAGCACAAAATATGTGCACTAATTTTATTGACCTTGCCGTTTTCAGCTTCACGGTATGCGGGATCTTTTATTCTTTTGAATCTGTCCTCTTTTTGCTACCGTGCAAAAAACGTGCCGACTTCACCGCTAAACTTCTAACACAACGATCTTGAGGTATTCGATAGAAATAAAATTGTCACTTACATCGACTTTTCTATGTCTCTTTCATTACGATGTATCTTGCTTATTATCTTATTAATTAATCTGAATTTCGTAACCAATCAAGTTACCTAATTAAAATTTCTGCATCTGATTCAGAAAGCTCATAAAAGTCAAGGACCATATCCTATAAATGAGAAGATTCCTTATTTATACTTGGTAGAAAGTTGGTCATCTGTCCGCCACTGACCATATGGTCAGTAATAAGTTATTGTACCTGAAGGTTACAGGCATACATATGGGCAAACGCGTGATCACACGACACATGTAATTACATACTCCTGTTATGATACATGAACTACTCTAAATAACTGTGACGCATATGGACATATGTCAACTATTGATAGCTTGCGTAACTTGTAGGTACATTGTATACAATCATGATAGTCAGACGGTAATGAAATAGGTCGTTTGAAGTGTGGAATCTCGACCTAATTAACACTGGTAGGTCGATGATTTTAACGATGTTGAAAATGAGAAATTGATTTACTTTATGAGTACTTCATTCGTTTTTATGAAATGTTATAATGCTTGTTGTGCCAGTAAGGTATTGGTAAATGTAGTATTGTAACAACTAGATGAGTATAGTACACAATTTTCGATTATTATGTAAGTAATGGATCACATCCTTTCCAAAACAATTATTTAATATAGTAGGAAATTTGATTCGATTAACATTATTAAATTCAACGATTTGTTTAGTAAATTAAACCGGTTTTATGTTGAATTTCTAGAATATCATTTTACTTAAGTATTGTATGAATAATTTTGTATGATATAACAAAACGACTAGCGCTGTAACTGGGTAACCGGCTGCTATGACGTATATCGCTACGATTTTTTATACAAAAAATACACACCAAAGAGAGTTCTTTGCCTCAGAGAAGATAGCAAAACCAAACGGTTGGTTCCAGTAGCCATACAAACATTTATCTATGGCTGTCGTTGTGGCTAATAAGTTTAAAGATCAGGCTAAAGGTTCATTCCTAAATGAGGTAAGTACTTATCTACACAGCTTATCTATCATCCTCAGAGGTTGTCAAGAACAAGCAGACAACCATTGTAAGTCCCGAAGGAGAACAAACTACCTAGTTTGACAATAGGAATTTATTCTATTGTAGCTTCGATTTACATTAAAGTTGTTTATTGGGACTGAATTCTAATTCAATATCAAAATTTCACCGCGTCGCGTGTTGCGGAATGCTGCTCATGAATATGAGCCTCTAGCATGGCTTGTAACTAGTCGAGTTCCTCGTCAAACTGTTACGTGAGTAAGCCGAAAACATTAGTATAAACTAGCTTCTGACACCGGCTCCACCCGCGTTCCTAGGGGTAAAAAGCTTATGAGTTATTCCAGATCATAATCTACCTCTGTTTCAAATTTTATCTCGATCCCTTCAGCCTGCGGGTAAATTAACATTCGACAAACTTATATTTGCGTTTAGTACAGTCACTGTGTCTAGGGATCGAGCCGCAGAATTAAGTTTGTTTTTTTGTGTATATACTTTTTCGAGATAAAAAGTAGTGTTGTGCGCAGGACATAAAAGTATAATCATACCAAGTTTCATCGTAATGAGACCGGTAGTTTTTGCGTGAAGCGTGAATATAGAGACAGACAGACAAACAAAAATTTTTTAAACACATTTTTGGGTTCGGTGTCTGTCTGTCTAGTAACACCCCCCACTATTTATTTTTTATTAGTTTCAAGGTACAGAACAAATAGTTCTACAGTTTTATCTATACTATATACTTATACTATAATATTATAGAGGTAAAGCTGAAGAGTTTGTTTTTTTGTTTGTTTGTTTGTTTGAACGCGCTAATCTCCGAAACTACTGGTCCGATTTGAAAAATTCTTTCTGTGTGGAATAGCCCATTTATCGAGGAAGGCTATAGGCTATAAAATATCACGCTACGATTAATAGGCGCCGAGCAGAGCGAGTGAAACCCGGCGGAAGTAGCTAGTTATAATAACATGTATAGATATAAAAATGGCTTAAAGAAACATTTCAGTGTCGAATAAATCGTATCATTTCACACGTCGTGTTTTACTGTTAAAACAAAACTGACACGGTAACATGCATGCAATAGCTGTGAGTAATCTATAGAAGGAAAAGTTGGCCAAATACGCGTCGAACACGAATTCCTATATTATTTCTTTTAAACTATTTCATCGAAAACTAGAACTAAAAAGATACTTGTCAGCTCATAGTTAGAAAACTTATTTACGCCAATTTCAAATGTATAGAATAAATAATGTTTAACATAACATCATCACGCCTTTATATCTCCGAAGGGGTAGGCAGAGGTGGACATTACGTCACTTAATGCCACTGTACAATGTAATTTCACTATTAAACTCACATTTTACTATTTATGTTATGAGTCCCATGTAATAGGGGGTGAGCCTATCGCCATATACCGAGCACAATTCTAGACTCCGTGCTAGTACTAAGATTTTTTTAAAACCCAGTAATACTTTGCCCGACCCGGGAATCGAACCGAGACCCCTTGCCCGGCAGTCGTACTTGCGACCACTCGGCCAACGAGACAGCAATAATGTTTAAATAGCGAGATATGGGATTTTTAGGGCCTGTTACACAACGTCTGATAAAGTAAGTTTAATTGGAACGTATTGTAACTAATTTTATATGAAAAAGAACATATTAACGAATTAAGACTTAGACAAAACTCAAAGGTGGTGGAATAAAACTTTCGACTCAGAACTCAGTAATAAAGGAACGTTAAACCAATATTTGGCTAAAGAAAACAGCAGACTTTCGGTACATAATATAACATCACATCACGCTTTTTATCCCCAGAGGGGAAGGCAGAGGTGCACATTACGGCACTTAATGCCACTGTACAATGTAACACCCGCTATTCACTATTTATGTTATGAGTCCCATGTAATAGGGGGTGAGCCTATCGCCATATACCGGGCACAATTCCAGACTCCGTGCTACTACTGAGATTTTTTTTAAAACCCAGTAATACTTTGCTGGAGACCCCTTGCCCAGAAGTCGCACTTGCGATCACTCGGCCAACGAGGCACTCTTGTTTCGGTACAATTTACATTAATTCAATTGAAAGTTAAAACGATCAACAGTCTTGTTTTTTTAAAATGGAAATTACAAGTAATGAATACAAAGACTAATTGCGATTAACTCGTCGAGTACCGGTTTTGTAGACACAATTATAGAACAATAGGTTGCGGTCACCGGTGACCGCTTGGTGTTTGACAGTATAAGCATTAAAAACTCAATTATATCACATCGAAGCGTGAAAAAACGAAAAGTATGCTGTTAAATAACTGACGCCTGTCTATTTGCAAATTTGGCAGTAATTACCCATGTTAAACTAGCTATATCACGTACTGTTCTTGGATAATTCACTTTCCTTTTTAACCGACTTCATTCTTAAACATATACATATATGCTTTCATAAATCTACGTGTTATTTATTCAGGTACCTATTACAGTTAATACTGTTTTTGCAAGATTGTGGTTTCTTTACATATTTTACAAGTGTGGGAGAGCCATGCTTCGGCACGAATGGGCCGGCTCGACCGGAGTGATACCACGACCTCACAGAATACCGACGTGAAGCAACGCTTGCGTTATGTTTCGTTGTGATTGAGGTTACTGACCCAATTACCCTTCCCTTTCCCAAGCTCCCCAATTCCTGAATCCCCAACGATCTTCAAACTCCTAATCCCCAAAATGCCGGTAACGCACGTGTAACGCCTCTGGTGTTCCAGCCTCCAGGTGTCCATGGGCGACTCCGATTGCTTACCATCAGGTGATCCGTATGCTAGTTTACCGGCTTATGCCATAAAAAAAAAATTGTAGGTGTTGGGCACAGTACAGTTACCATCTTAGTAGGTACCTACGTCCATAATAAGTTCCGTAACTAAGTGACAAACAGACATTAACAATTTGTGTACTTTAAACTAAATTATTATTGCATTACCGAGCGAGATAATAACAAATATGAAATCGTAAACAGACTGTCCGATATTGTCCGTGTAGGTAAACAATTAAACATTCATACGAAACGTTCTAGTATCAATTCAAAATTTTACGCGTTGTAATTACGATTGCCCACCGCAACGTATTGTTCATGAATAATTTAGAAAGTTGTGATGAATAGAATGTAATATCATGCGGAATGTAGAAACGTGCTAACAATACTTTTATAAACTCGGCACTAACGAGACTATTGACTAAGTTAGTGTTCTTCGCTTTTGAACTCTTGCATTAACAATGTGTTCTGAACTATTAATTTCTTTTAATAATTTCAATAACATCTATTATAATACTTTCGATCATATTATCTGATTGGAATCGTTTATAGTGACATATCAAAAGGGACCTCATGAGAAAAGTAGATAACTGGCAAAACATTTGAACCATAAATAACACAATCTCAAATTGTATAGGGAATGTAAACGTGGGAAGTAAAAACTTCAAACAAGATAACCCGATAAGCAATTGGATTCAATCAGAAAATAAGGGCAAGGGCCGACAGCTTAAGGCCACGTGCGTCTATCGACAGCCACGACATCTAGTGGCGCCATGTGTAATCGGCCGAGTAAACATGTCAAATGGAATGTCGGCGACTCAGCTGATCACCACGCGCGGGATACAACTACCGTGCTTTTCTTTTTTAAATTCAACGCTTTCCCGACGCTACGTGATTAAAAATAGTTCTCTGCGCATTTGGCCCATGCCAGTCTCACTCACACAACTGAACAGAAGCGTAAATAACAAAGGACATTACCCTTTTCAGTGCAGTGTTCTTGATATTCTGCAACTCATTCTTTATGATGGAAAATTTCATCATAGTGTCCGAGGAAAATATGGAACTCCCGAATGCTAAACCTGGATAATCGGCACATCTTCTCCTCCGCCTATTCTCTCTTTCAGCTAAGACTTCTGTACATTCACTAGTACACCTGAGTTTCGCCAGTTCTGCCGTCTCAGGGTCATCATCTGATATATTATCTGAGGTGACAGTAGCAACGAACTCGGCTCCGTCTCCCGCCGATCGCTCTTCTCGGAACGAAAATTCGTCGTCCGAGGAACCAAGCGACTCGGGGTCCTTAATTCTATTTTCGAAATCAATTTCATCGTCAATATTCGCAAAGTGCTCGATTGTATTCTGTTTCGAAAGTGCATCGTCACTATTCGTCCTTGTCACTTCTTGAGATTCACTAACACTATTGACACAAGGCACAACATCGTCTGTTTGACTGTCTAAGGTCACTTGTTTGGACGGATCTGTGTTTACAGGCGCTGCAGGGGCGGGTGTGCGGTCGCCCCTCAGCCGCGGGTGGTGTTGGTGCCCCCTGCGCCGCACGGGGGTGCGCCCGTGGGCGTGGGGCGCGGACGCGGACATAACTACGCTCGGCGCGGTCCGACCGGCCGCGCAGCGCCGGCGGCCATGTTGACTGACGGTCTCTCAGTCTGCCCTAACAAACCGCGGTGGCGCTGTAGTCGCTCCTAACTTGCTGCCATCTTTTGTTTTCATTGCACTGTTTTACCTACCGAGCGGCGCATTTGTTTATCGTTAGACGCGGGAATTTCAAATATAGGGAATCTGTTTCGATATTTAAAATTTGTTTACAAGTTTTATAACCATCTTGTACGGATAAACCATAATATAATTTTTTTACTTTTAAAATCGAGATTTTTTTGACATAATATTATGTGTGTGTACGCAAATAAGTGCTAATTGTATAGGAATTTATTGTTCTAAAACACGATTTGTTGGTAAATTCCATAGTTTATCTGATGTAGGCGAGCTGACGTATCGAATGAGTCCAGCGTCTATTTTTACTGAAACACCGGGCACCGGGCCCATATTAGGTGTCGAGCGCTGAAAATAACTCGGTGCGCACAGAACGCAGCCCCCTAGAGCGCGGCATTCCGGTATACAAGGCATCTGGTATTACACGTGTTCAATGAAACACAAATAAGTATGATAATTTGATGTCTTCATGTGAATGGCGATGAAGTTGTGGATATCCGATGTCATTGAACTTAAGAACAAAGAATAAAGACCAAAAACAGAATTCATAAATCAGTTTTCTTAGGTTTAAACAAAATTGTTTAATTTTTTTTACACGTTTATACGTTTTACATATTTCATTTCTTTCTGAATCATAATTAATTATCTAATGGGTACGAGATATTCTTTGATGACGCATTTTCTAATGATTAGATTTTGAGATTTTGCAATTTCGAGCTTTTACCTTTACAATTCCGTTTCTTTCTTAATTATCGGGATCTTAAGTTTAAAATGAATCTCAATCGACCACAATAAATCTGAGAAACGTGTCAGATATTTTATTTGTTTTCTGTTAGAACCATTTATACCTAATCATCAATTTATCCAATACAATTCAAGGCTGCAAAATGGCACATATCTTCTTTTCCTCGTGTATTTTTGTTTAACAGTGAAACAGCATAGATATTTTATCTTATTGTATCTCAGATTATTTTCCCCTGTTACTCATCTGATAGGCATCCTCTATACTTTAATATCAGTCCCTCATTTTGTTTGCCAATCAGCCAAGGTTTTTGGCTCACAAGATGGTCTCTTTAATTATTGACACATGCGATCTAAATTAATTCTGCAGTATTCATTATTGGAATGAGATCATCAATTGTTTACAGTCGACATACTAATTAAATTAATGATTCTAATTCAGCTTATTGTTTTTGATTTGTTATTATATTGTGACCGTATTTTTGTAGTAGCTCTGTGATCTAGTGGTACACGAGGATGATTGAATAAAGTATATAATCGACCTTCAATTGAGTATCTTCCATAGTTCTATTGTATTCTTAAACTGGCTAACATCCACACGTTCGGTATAATAAAAGCCCGCATATAAAAATGTCTAAGAAAATAGACAGACAATTATTTTCATAATTCCAACACGCACACAAATTTAACAAATCGTTAAAATGTTTCCACCGATGGATTCCAACATCTGGCTGAAAAATGAGTACCGGGATTTCAAATTGGAGTTCGGCGTGCCATGGAAGAGGTTTATGTCCATCGGTAGGCCTTGAAGAGCTAGATATCTGAACTGAACTGGACATAAGCTCTTGACAGCAATGATTATAATACTGTAAAGTACTCACGTTCTGAAGAGCCTTCTCCTTCTCCTCCAGCTTGGCGTTAACCTGCATGAGAGCTTCCTGGGTCTGGTCAAGGTCGTTCTCAATGGTCTGGATCTTCTTCTGGAGCTGTCTGGCCTCCTCCTCAGCCTATTACAAAGATTAAGAGGATTATGACGTAATTCTGTAATACACATAAAGTTCCTTTCAAATAGTACTTAGTGCAAACATTTGTCTTACATGTGCTAAATAAACTAAATTATTTTTGAAGCAAACTAATAGCTGGTTCTATTGTATTGATTTTGTTACGTCTTGATTTGTCGCAAATCAAATGTTATCTTTGTAATTAAATACACTGGTGCAGTTCTATTAATGGACACAAAATTGCAACTATTTTGTCATTTGTACAACCAATTGGCTAGTTTCCTAGGTTTAAAATAAATTGTTTCAACTTTTCAATGCAATAAATAATTAAAAAATAATCATACTCTCATCCATTGATTTGACAATTTACCTACTTTTGGATTTTTTCTTGCTAATTTTAAGGAAATAAGTATGCTGTTTGACGCAGAAATATAATGACATCATAAGTAGCGATCCAATACAAAGTTCATAGGAAAGTATAGTTTTTGACATTTCAATAAAAGTATTGAATTTGACTACCTGTCAACTACCGTAATTTCTGATCAAAGTATTTTCAAGTATTACATGTAGAACTACTTAATAATAGGAAATATTGTAAGAAACTAGTTACCTATATATCCAAACATTAATGTTTATGATTGATGAGCATTCTTACGTTTGTAATTCTTTAACTGTTTATTACATTTGCAACATCCGTTCTTGTTTGCTTTTGTTTGCCAAAAGTATTTTAATGAAACAAATTATGTTTTCCTGTGTATAAAATTCAAGTGATATTTGATTTTAAAATAAGGATATTAAGGCTTACAATGGCCTGTATCTTTATAGAGGCATAGTTTTGCATTTGCAAGAGTATGCACATAATGCACAATATACATAAGTACAGATAATTTAATATATCTAAGTTGTCGGTTGGCGTCCTTAGCCCTGACACGCAGCCGTGGTCAAGGTTGCTCCCGTCATAAGCAAAACTAAAAGCGAAAACACAAGCCGGTGTAATTTAAAAATTAAATAATTAATATCGACCTTGCAATGGTATAATCGGTCAAGAATTCTTTAATTTACAGCTGTTTCATTTTACTTGAATAATTTATTACTTTATTTGCATTAAAATTGTTCTCGACATACCTAGATTAATTTTAACAAGAACTTATTTTAAGCATTTCAGTATACGTTGGTTATATTCATTTACGTTATTGGTAAAGTATTCGAAGCAATTGTTACTGTAATAACATGCACCTATATGTAGAATAATAATATAATTTGTAATCGATATTCAATCGACTTTGAAACTAGATATAAGTGACAGACAACGCTATTTAATAAATATGTTTTTATAAAGTTCAGTGTCCTGCGCTGCAGTTGTAAAAACAAAATGATTTTTCACACTTGACACCGACTATGTAAAAACCCGTTATAACACTTCAACAGCAAAAAATATTTATGCATAGGTCTAAAACAAATAACTTTGATATTGCGAATTCATGATGACTTTCGTTTGTATCGTCATCATTTTTATGGTTAAGTGGTATCTTAAAATTTCGAACTATCCTAAAGGTTCACCAAAGGAGAGACCGACATATTTTTGCTTATGGTTTTTATCTCAATAGTTCCCTTTTTTATTTAATAGGAAAAATATGATGTTCATGAAAAAAATAAAAACTCAATTTTTTTTTGTTTGATCAGAACAACAATATTAAATTTTGAATGTGGAACATATTTTTTTTAAATCATGTCCTCAATAGAGCGGTGACCAATAAATCAATTTGCCAATAATCGACTAAATGCTATAATAATAATGTGCACACGGCGCCCTTTAGCCATAAACGGTGAAGTGTGTCGCGTACCTTCTCGGCACGGAGGTTGGCGTCCTTGGCCTGCTGCTCGCACATGGCGGCGCGGTCAAGCGCGTTGTCCTTCTCCAGCTTCATCGCCTGCATCTTCTTCTTGATCGCGTCCATTTTGGCGGTTTGTGTTTGTTTACTCCTCTAGATGCAAAAGCTGTAACAAAACGAAATAGTTAAAACTGATCTTCACAATACTTTTTGTCATTTTTTCTTTTCTAAACAGTATTTGTGTGACAATGCCCCAATCTTTCAACTTTAACTTCGTTACATAAACCGCTTAATTCTTCTAAATTAGATTTTAATGTCCTTGTCTTATGCTTATTTAGGCAAAGCATTAACTTGATAATATTTTTTTACTTTTATTGTCAATCTGAGTCACCAATAAAAACACACTTTTTATACGAATTGTTCGTAAAAAAGTCAGGCACGTTGGCATTAAGTTTCCTGTGACCACAAAAATAAACAACCTTTATTGGACCGTCATCGTCTTTCGAATAAGTCATGTTCAGAGTCCAGAATGTCTTGTTTTTGCTTGAGGAAATCATAAAGTAAAGATGTACATACAAATATGATCAGTAAAGTTCTTATATGTCAATAAGTTTGTGGAACGAAGCCGGCTATTTATGGAACCGAGGGTGCATTGATCTTGAGTGCAGGGATTTACTTTTCGTTTAGTTGTGCTTACGCTGTGGTACACTTCCATTCTAAAGGAACCCATTCATTCAGAGTTCGTTAGACTTAAACATGTTAAGGTTGATTTATTAAGCTCAGAGTCTGAAGTTAGAGGTAAATTATTGAATAAAAGTTTCAACTATTTTTCTACCCATGGAAACAAAAACTTGTATATTTTATATTACAGGAACAATTAGATAAAATCAGTCATTAACCCACGTCAACAACATTTCCGATAAACTCAAATCGGTGGAGAGATTAAAGAAATTAGTTATCAAGTAAAGTCATTAAGTTTTTCTAGTGATCACCAGTCAGACAAAGGTGAAGAACCTCTAATGCTTGTAACCACGTTACTTTACCGGCAATCAATGAAACGGTAACGCTTCACACTGATTAAAAACCGATATACGAAACATGTATCGTAATTGTGAAACTTTATCTAGTTATGATACATCCATAGATGTCTAAATGGTCTGTCATAATAATATGTTGGGTAGGTCATGGATTCCATCACGTTTTGTAAAATGCAGTGCAACTATCGCCTATATGCGAACGTGTCTTATCATAATTTTGTGTAAAAGCGTTCCTGATTAATTTAAATAAAACTATCATAGAATTTTTGCAGCTGTTCTATTACCCTGATTCACTCGTAAACAATGTTTTATCGAGAAAT